CATGACAACGTAATATCATGAATATTCATGATGTAACACATTACCATATATGTTAACTAGTGGGCGGCGGTCTCTGTAGTGTTGACTTTGTCTTTCTCATATTTTAACCAGTTTATGTATACATACCATGGTGTTGTTTATATATTATATCACAAATTTTGTTTTCTTTTTTTTTATTATTATTATTTTCAATTTTTACAAGAGGTATATCTAGATTATTATATAGAACCATATGTACAATATATATATTGTAAGTAATTGTGCAAAGTGATGAAAAATGTAAGTGTTATTGTTTACTGAAATCTACAAAACCAATGTAATTAAAAAGGATCTTGATTACCAGGGTTGAGAGAAAGGGAGACTACTGTGTTTATTCTTTATTGAAAATGTCACAAGGAAATATAATGATTTAACTATTATGTTATGCAGTTCTTTGTTTTGTTAATATTAAAATTATACTCTTAAATATGCATCTTTAAAATATATGTGTGTATGTTTTTGTCCATTTTTTTCATAATTTGTTATGATCAATATTTTTTTCCCTTTTATGTATATTTGTCTTTGAAAAGACATTCTGGTGCAAAGTAATGGTTTTAAAATGATTTGTATTAGTTCTCCATGATGGATTGACCTTTGCTAAAATGATTTCCCTACTAGTAGCTTTCTTCTTTATTACTGTAAAGTGTTATTAGGTACTGTCTACATGTACATGCTAGACAGTTTATAAAGTGCTATTTTATTATATTAGTTTTTTGGATCTATTTTCATTTGATTACCAGTGTTTTAACTTAAAGAAAAGGAAAATCATAAGATTTTTTGTAGGACTTAATTATGATTATTATTTAGGTTTTGTTTTGTTACAAAAAAAGAGAATTTTCTTTATCTAGTTAACACCAAGAATGGCCTCGTCTTTTTTTATTTTACTGTTCATGTCTCCCAAAAATGATAAAGAATGACTCGTTTACTTTCAATGGTCTGTTTTTTTTTTTCAGTGTGTTAAATAGGTGCTTCTTGCTTCTTTTGATATAATCAGAGAAAACCATGAGATTACAACAGACCACTACCTTATAATTGGAATATGCAAATTTTATTTTATGCATATTGCTTTTGCAGAAGATACAACATGACTTCTTATAAGAACTGAAGACTTTGTACTTTTTCTTGTCAATTTTTTTTGTATGTCTCCCATTTGTTTTGTTATCAAACAATCGTCATATGTTAACTGCAGGTGATCCTAATAAAAAGAAAATAACCAGAACTTGTGCTTTTTACTTTAGAAATTTATGATAATTTGCATTGATTGTTAACCTTGCCCTACAGTTTCATGATAAGGATGTTTTGCTTTCTTTGATAGTAAATGGCAAAATTTAGAGCAAGACTTCAATGTTTGCATTGCAATGTCATTCTTTGGGGCCAGAAAATAAGCCAGAGTTTTGATTAAATAACATAATTATTTAAAGCCAAGTAGAAACAAGAGGACCAAGGGCCTTAACAGTCACCTGAGTATAATACAACATTGTAAAGGATCCATACAAGTATAAAACTGGAGGTGCTGTGAATGAGATCACAGAATAATACACCCCCCCCCCTCTCTCCCCCAGCTACAATTTTTTTAAAGTGCCCATTCACATGTAAATGTGACCGTGAACTTGCCAAAAAGACATAGGTTAAAAAATGACACATCCTCTGGTTGTAAGTTATTTTTTAGTGAAATATGGACATCATATGTTTCTCCATTAGAAAATTATAGACCTGTCATGAATTTTACACTTTTTATACCAGTGACCTTGAATTTGCCACATGAACTTGGGTCAAAGTTTTGACACACACTCAAGGTCATAAACAATCTTTATACCAAGAATGAGCTTCCAATGATTTTCCATTACAGAAGTAAAGCTTAAACAAGAATTTTACGCTTTTTCTGCCAGTGACCTTGAACTTTCTGGAATGATATTTGATCAAGGTCACAACACACACCCTCAGGTCATAAATGATCTTTGTACCAAGTATGAGCTTCCAATGATTCTTTATTCCAGTTATAGCCCAGACAAGAATACAGCACTTTTTCTGTCATTGATCTTGAACTTGCCAAAATGACCTTGCATCAAGGTCATGACATACTCTGGGGTCATAAACAATCTCTGTACCAAGTATGAGCTTCCAATGATTCTCCATTAATAAAGTTATAACCTGGATAAGATTGCACAGGCAGATGGACAAGGTGATTCCTATGTGGCGGTCAGACGGGTCGATTGCCGGTGGCCAGATAGCTCAGTTGGTAGAGCACCTGACTGGAGATTCAGGGGGCCCGGGTTCGAATCCCGGTCTGGTCCGCTGCATTTTTCTCCTCTCCCGTTACATTTGGTGCCGTGCCATGCCCTGGAAGTGACAGGTGAAATACCTGCCAGGGAAGAGCCTGGGTTGGGGTCTTTGGAGGGCCAAAGACCTTAAAGGAGGGAGGAATGTGGCGGTCAGACGGGTTCGATCGCCGGTGGCCAGATAGCTCAGTTGGTAGAGCACCTGACTGGAGATTCAGGGGGCCCGGGTTCGAATCCCGGTCTGGTCCGCTGCATTTTTCTCCTCTCCCGTTACATTTGGTGCCGTGACCAGGATGTGACAGGTGAAATACCTGCCAGGGAAGAGCCTGGGTTGGGGTCTTTGGAGGGCCAAAGACCTTTAAGGAGGGAGGAATGTGGCGGTCAGACGGGTTCGATCGCCGGTGGCCAGATAGCTCAGTTGGTAGAGCACCTGACTGGAGATTCAGGGGGCCCAGGTTCGAATCCCGGTCTGGTCCGCTGCATTTTTCTCCTCTCCTGTTACACCTATATACCCCACTTAGCTGTACTTGCCCCAGTTTGTCATTATCACCATTATGACTGAACAAATCAACGATTAGAAACCCAATCTCATTCCCTCTCACACTGGCCTCTCTTTTTTCTTTTTGAAGAGCATTTGATGTACAAAGAAAAGGCATTTTTGTCTCTTTATTTATCAAATAGTTACAACTCTATTCCATCATTAAAAACTATGAAAGTACTTCTTGTATTATAAATGATCAAAATTATTGTACAATTCTCTTATTCAATTGAGCTTTCACTTACATTACTTTAAGGACATATGCAACGTAGTTTGAACTTTATTGTCTTTTCCCCTGGAGTTGAAGAGTTCCAATTCTTAAAGGAACTGTGTGTTACATTTAATGTCTATATATGCTGTTGCACACTTCTTCTAAAACAAGTTTGGATAAACAAAACATCTAGAATATATGTTTCGTAATTTTTGTATATTTTTCTGTGAATAATACAAGAATTTTCATCAACTAATATCTTTTCAAAACCTCTGGTAATGCATGCTGATTTTTTGTCTATGAACATCTAATAGCCCTATAATCATAAATTAAGAATATCTTGAAAAATTATCAGTAGGTAAGATACGTTTCGTATGTCCTTAATACAGTGATTAATTATCACAGGTGAATAGCAAAGGGGAATAACTTCACTCAGTGGACGAAAAATTAACAAAGCCTCACCCTAGCACCACAGGCCCTAGACTTAGGGGCCTAGAAATTCACAATTTTGGAAGAGGCACCCTTGCTCATCATAACAATGCACTAAGTATGTTTGCTGAATACCCAGGGACAGAAAAGAAGATTTTCAAAAAAATAATGAAAATAATGCATTTTCACAATATATTCAACAGAGCCCCACACCAAAATCCCTGTCCCAGGGCTATGAATTTCATAATTTTGGAAGAAGCTTCCTTGCTCATCATGACTATGTAATTAATTTATCTTCTAAATACCCAGGGACAGAGAAGAAGATATTTAGAGAATTAATGCATTTTCAATTTTGATCTACAAAGACCTGTCCTACCACCATAACCCCTGACCCAGGGGCCACGATATTCACAATTTTGGAAGACGCACCTTTCTTATCATAACCATACACACAGTTTATCTACTAAATACCCAGGAACAGAGAAGTTTTTCAAAAAATTAATATCTGCTAAATATATAGGGGAGAGAAGAAGATTTTAAAAGAATTTGTACATTTTCACTATATGTTCATTAAAGCCCCACTCTTACACCAGAACCCCTGACTCTTGGGCAATGGATTTCATAATTTTGGTAAAGGGCTTAATGCTTATTACAATCATGCAACAGTTTTACTGGTTGATCCAGGAGTAAAGATGAAAATTTTTAAAGATTTCACTAATTTTGATGGTTTTAGCCCAATCCTTCAGGCCCCAGGGGAAGGGGGGGGGGGGGGGGCAGAGACCATGAAATTCAAAATTTCTGTACCTCTTTACCCATTGATGCTATATGCCAAAATTTTTTGAAATTGAGAAGAAGCTGAAAATGTTCAAAAGTTTATGACCAACACACGTCGCATGACAGATGATGGCGGACAAAAACAGATGCAATAGGTCACCTTAGCGGCTCAGATGACCTAAAAACAAGCTAATTCAGAGAATTTATGTCTCCCACTTCAGGAAAAAAGAAGAGGGTGAAAGAACTGGAAAAATTATGCAGATGGAGAAAGGAAAAAGGTCAACCTTCACCTTTCAGCTTTTGGCCTTAAAGTCATTAGGAGTCTTTTTAAAGTTTAAGAAATTCATGACCTAAAGTTTCATTGCAAAAGCTTACAGAAAAACTAAAATTATCATTTGAAAACTATATATAGAATATATATTTCTGATCTTGACCTTTTAGCCTCAAAATCAATGTGTTCTTTTTTTTTGGCAAAAACTTTCAGAAAAACTAAAATTATCATTTGAAAACTATATATGCAATATATATTTCTGATCTTGACCTTTTGACCTCAAAAGTAATATGGGGTTTTTTAAGGCCATGGGGTGTTGTGAAATAAATCTCATTGCAAAATCTCACAAGCTTTTTAAGATGTAGTTTGGAAAAAAGTGTTACACAGATAGAATGTATGAATTTCTGACCTTGACCTTTTGACCTCAAAATAAATAGGGATCTTCTTTAGGCCATAGGGAGTTGTGATATTAAATTCTATTGAAGCAAGCTCAAAGACAACTAAGTTATCAACTGGAAAATGTTATACTGCAATGTTTGAATTTCAGATCTTGACCTTTAAACTTTTTGATGTCAAAATCAATAAGGGTCTTGAGTTGTGATACATAATTTCATTGCAAAAGCTCAAAGGCTTTTTAAGATATCATCCAGAAATTAAGTGATACACAAAAACAGAATGTATGAATTTATGACCTTGACCTTTTGACCTCAAAATCAAAAGGGGTCTTCTTAAGGCCATAGTAAGCTGTAATATAAAATTTTATTGAAGAAAGCTCAAGGAAAACTAAAGTTATCATCTTGACAATGTTAATTTTAATGTATGAATTTTGACCTTTACCTTTGACCTCAAAATCAATAGTTGTCTTTTTTTAGGCCATAAGGAGTTGTGAGATAAAATTTCATTGCAAAAGTTCAAAGGGTTTTAAAGGTATTGCCTGGAAACAAAAGTGTTACACACAAACAGAATGTAAGAATTTATTACCTTGACCTTTTGACCTCAAAATGAACTGGGTTCTTCTTTAGGCCAATGGGAGTTGTGATATAAAATTTCATTGCAAATGTCAAAAGGCTTCTTGAGATATAGTCTGGGAACAAAGGTGTTACAAACAGACAGAATGACAGAGAGACCAAAATTAATATCCCCCCACTTTCAGTGAAAGTGGGGGACATAAAAATATACAGCATATAAACATGTGCAAAGCATATATAAAAACTGCAGACTTGATAACTTACAGAAAAATAATTTTCATTATTCTACTTTTTTTTAAACTTTTCTTACTGAAGGAAAGTAAAAATTAGCGGAAATATGATGTGTCATATTGTACAATTACAGTGTTAGATTTTGATGTGACATCTTGTACAATTACAGTGTTAGATTATGATGTGTCATCTTGTACAATTACAGTGTTAGATTATGATGTGTTACCTTGTACAATTACAGTGTTAGATTATGATGTGTAATCTTGTACAATTACAGTGTCATGTAAGAACTCAAGGTTTCTTCATTGCACTTGTGACTTGACCAGATTAGAGAGTGAGCAAGGTGATTGCCTTCAACTACCAAACCCCTCCTTCCACCTTTGCAACTTTATTTAGTGTTTAATAATAAAAGCATCATGGCTTTTATTTAATATAGCTTACTCCTTCTTTCCAAAACTTCAATAGAATAAAAAAATAAAACTTCAGGAAGAAAAAGAGAGCAATTTAATCACTGTAAGCCCCTGTTGTATTAAACAATCATGAGATGAGTGGCCTAAATCAAATGCTAAGGAGATACAATATATTCAGCAATGGTTAATTAATCACAACAGTATGTGTACACCTGAACTCCAAATGAATTGAAGCCTTTCAATGAAATACTGTAATGTGAAATATTTTGATCTACTTGTAACGAGTCACTAAAGCCTGGATAAGTAGATATAGCACTATGTCGTCCTCCACAAGACCACAACCCAATCTTTTGTTGCTATAGACAACAATAAACAAAAGTATCCTGTCGAGAATTCTTCTGCAGAACTTAATATCCCACCTTTCCTAATCGACTATCTGTCTTAGGATTTGCTATAAGGGCCTGGACCCCAACGATCGCTGAATTTATCTGTGTTTGTAAGTCTCTCAAATTCTTAATGTGAATAAGTCTTAGGATTTTAGCCGCTTCATTTATTATGTAATCTGAAAAATATGCAAAAAACAACAAATTATTTAGACCCATTTAAGAGCACTTCCGTTCTATACAATCTGTATATGCACATGCACTGTACAGGTAATCTAAAATGTACATGCAAGTCACAATAATGATTTTCATGCATGCATTAATTTTCTGAATTAGCTTAAATTGAAAAGGTAGAATTAAATTTGAAAAAAAAAGAAAAGAAGGAAAAACTTGACATTAAAACAATTTAACATGAGCATTTGAAATAAATTGAATAACTGATCATACCTCCAGTGTCAAATCCCAAATCTGTCTGATCTAAAGGAAGTTGTTCACCCTGAAAATGGAAGCAAAGAGGGAGAAATGAAAATTATTGACAGGATAATATAAAACTTCAAACAGCTGAAGCCTCAGATGATTCACAAAGCATAAACATTATGTGTATATCTGCTGTGGAATTAATTTAAAAGATTTTACCCACCTGTTTTTCTGTGGAGAATTTTTTAATGGCTTCTTGGGAAAGTCGATCTTTCACGACCATACAAATTGCCTGTGTATTTTTATCATGATGACATTAAATTTGCAATGAATTTTATAGTAACTGTACTTCATTTTCAAATTCTTAAATACATGTTACTTCTACTCACCTTTAATTGTTCTAAGTGGTCAGCATGAGGAGGTATTTGCAAAATCATGGATAAAGATGTGACACCAGCCTTAAAATCAGGATCATTAACTGTCAAAAAAAAAGTCACATCTTTAGAATTAATCATCATAATATCTCTGTAAGTTTATACTGAGAGTCCAAGCCTTAAAATCAGGATCATTAACTGTCAAAAAAAGGTCACATCTTTAGAATAAATCATCATAATATCTCTGTAAGTTTATACTGAGAGTCCAAGCCTTAAAATCAGGATCATTAACTGTCAAACCAAAAGTCATATCTTTAGAATAAATCATCATAATATCTCTGAAAGTTTATACCGAGAGTCGAAGCCTTAAAATCAGGATCATTAACTGTCAAAAAAAAAGTCACATCTTTAGAATAAATCATCATAATATCTCTGAAAGTTTATACCGAGAGTCGAAGCCTTAAAATCAGGATCATTAACTGTCAAAAAAAAAGTCACATCTTTAGAATAAATCATCATAATATCTCTGTAAGTTTATACTGAGAGTCCAAGCCTTAAAATCAGGATCATTAACTGTCAAAAAAAGGTCACATCTTTAGAATAAATCATCATAATATCTCTGAAAGTTTATACCGAGAGTCGAAGCCTTAAAATCAGGATCATTAACTGTCAAAAAAAAAGTCACATCTTTAGAATAAATCATCATAATATCTCTGAAAGTTTATACCGAGAGTCGAAGCCTTAAAATCAGGATCATTAACTGTCAAAAAAAAAGTCACATCTTTAGAATAAATCATCATAATATCTCTGTAAGTTTATACCGAGAGTCGAAGCCTTAAAATCAGGATCATTAACTGTCAAAAAAAAAGTCACATCTTTAGAATAAATCATCATAATATCTCTGTAAGTTTATACCGAGAGTCGAAGCCTTAAAATCAGGATCATTAACTGTCAAAAAAAAAGTCACATCTTTAGAATAAATCATCATAATATCTCTGAAAGTTTATACCGAGAGTCGAAGCCTTAAAATCAGGATCATTAACTGTCAAAAAAAAAGTCACATCTTTAGAATAAATCATCATAATATCTCTGTAAGTTTATACTGAGAGTTCAAGCCTTAAAATCAGGATCATTAACTGTCAAAAAAAAAGTCACATCTTTAGAATAAATCATCATAATATCTCTGAAAGTTTATACCGAGAGTCGAAGCCTTAAAATCAGGATCATTAACTGTCAAAAAAAAAGTCACATCTTTAGAATAAATCATCATAATATCTCTGAAAGTTTATACCGAGAGTCGAAGCCTTAAAATCAGGATCATTAACTGTCAAAAAAAAAGTCACATCTTTAGAATAAATCATCATAATATCTCTGTAAGTTTATACTGAGAGTCCAAGCCTTAAAATCAGGATCATTAACTGTCAAAAAAAAAGTCACATCTTTAGAATAAATCATCATAATATCTCTGTAAGTTTATACCGAGAGTCGAAGCCTTAAAATCAGGATCATTAACTGTCAAAAAAAAAGTCACATCTTTAGAATAAATCATCATAATATCTCTGAAAGTTTATACCGAGAGTCGAAGCCTTAAAATCAGGATCATTAACTGTCAAAAAAAAAGTCACATCTTTAGAATAAATCATCATAATATCTCTGTAAGTTTATACTGAGAGTTCAAGCCTTAAAATCAGGATCATTAACTGTCAAAAAAAAAGTCACATCTTTAGAATAAATCATCATAATATCTCTGAAAGTTTATACCGAGAGTCGAAGCCTTAAAATCAGGATCATTAACTGTCAAAAAAAAAGTCACATCTTTAGAATAAATCATCATAATATCTCTGAAAGTTTATACCGAGAGTCGAAGCCTTAAAATCAGGATCATTAACTGTCAAAAAAAAAGTCACATCTTTAGAATAAATCATCATAATATCTCTGTAAGTTTATACTGAGAGTCCAAGCCTTAAAATCAGGATCATTAACTGTCAAAAAAAGGTCACATCTTTAGAATAAATCATCATAATATCTCTGAAAGTTTATACCGAGAGTCGAAGCCTTAAAATCAGGATCATTAACTGTCAAACCAAAAGTCATATCTTTAGAATAAATCATCATAATATCTCTGAAAGTTTATACCGAGAGTCGAAGCCTTAAAATCAGGATCATTAACTGTCAAACCAAAAGTCATATCTTTAGAATAAATCATCATAATATCTCTGAAAGTTTATACCGAGAGTCGAAGCCTTAAAATCAGGATCATTAACTGTCAAAAAAAAAGTCACATCTTTAGAATAAATCATCATAATATCTCTGAAAGTTTATACCGAGAGTCGAAGCCTTAAAATCAGGATCATTAACTGTCAAAAAAAAAGTCACATCTTTAGAATAAATCATCATAATATCTCTGTAAGTTTATACCGAGAGTCGAAGCCTTAAAATCAGGATCATTAACTGTCAAAAAAAGGTCACATCTTTAGAATAAATCATCATAATATCTCTGAAAGTTTATACCGAGAGTCGAAGCCTTAAAATCAGGATCATTAACTGTCAAAAAAAAAGTCACATCTTTAGAATAAATCATCATAATATCTCTGAAAGTTTATACCAAGAGTCCAAGCCTTAAAATCAGGATCATTAAATGTCAAAAAAAAGTCACATCTTTAGAATAAATCATCATAATATCTCTGAAAGTTTATACCAAGAGTCCAAGACTTAAAATCAGGATCATTAACTGTCAAACCAAAAGTCATATCTTTAGAATAAATCATCATAATATCTCTGAAAGTTTATACCAAGAGTCCAATTACAAATCAGTACAGATAAATGGACTGTTGCCATTAATATATATTAATTTTAACTTTACATAGAATCAAGAGTGCCACTCACAATCCAAATTATCTAAAGGATTTGAAGAAGGGACACGGTCTGTTTGGGACATGGCTATATTAGAAGGATCTACTGCCTTGTATTCATCAACTGAAAAGGAATTAAACAAATAGTGAATGACCTGATGGATGGAATGATTTGAATAGGATTGGAAAGTTATTATAAATGAGTTGGAGCATCAAAGACACACTTATTCTATTACCAGCCTCTGCCTTCAAATACTCGTTATCAGTCAAGATGATTCATACTATATTATTTTTGTATTATGATAGAAAGATATATCTGATATTCCCTAGATAAACAAGTTAATAACTACAAAACAAATTAGTCCAGTCAATTTATCATTAACATCAAATTAATTGCAAAAGAATTTTTTTTGTTATAAATAAAAATTATTACAAATGTTTAGGCCTATTTCAGAAATTCAGAGTGTATGTTGCATTTCCTTGCCTCAATATGATAAAATTTGGGGAAGAGGATATCTGAAAATAGGTCAAGTTTTGTCACTACTCTTTATGTATGATTTTTTTTCATTATATTTAGAAAATATAAAAGAAATGACTAATACATACTAAATAATACTTTAAAGGAAATTTTTATTTTGTTTTCTAAACTCTGTATTCACTATTTATTAAACAAATGCCAATATTTCCAAAATATCAAAAAGGTGTAAGTTAAATTCAAAATATCCATTTGAAATCTTTACTATCTATGTGAAGTAATGATCTGTTAAACTACATGTACATCAAAAATGTTTAAATCAGATTAAGCAATCATGAAAATGGGAATTTCTTTTGATCATTGGTGGATTTACAGAGCTATGCCTCTATTCTATAATAAATGTAATTCCCAAAAGTAATTAAAATAAATCATGTCAAAATTATGCTTTCCCTTCATTGCATTTTCTTAGGCTTTTTACTTTATATATTTTGTACATGCTAGATTTTATTTATCACAAAATAATTTCTGTTGCAATTACATGTAGTTTTACATTGGAACTACATTTTTGCTAAATTGACTGGACTAAATAGTAAATATGGAAAAATAGTTTTACCATGGTCTCCATATTCGAGCCTAACTGCATATGCTAATATCCATTCAATCATACTGGTTCTCTCAGATTGCTGATAAGGACATCCTAGATCTTTAAAATACTGAAAAATGTACATGTGTATGTTAAGTAAATATACTCCTGAGGAAAGAGAAATGACTTTTGGTCATAATGTGAAGCACTGTTACGCAGCCACTCACAGATTCACATGCTTTAGTCCAGTCACTGCTTTTAATATTCCTGAGTCCTGTTCGGTCTTCTATCTTGTAATGACGAATTTTCTGATCCTCTACCCATATGATGAAATTGCGAAATTCATTTTCATCTGTCAGACCAATAGATGTGCAATTTATTATCAATGTGATATAAATAAATGCATCAAAACTTTAATAATTTGAAAATTACATCAAAATGACAATCAATCTTTAAAGTCATATATGGCGTATTTTTTATATGTTCAGACTAACTAAAATTAAAAAGATCTTTCTATTTGTTTTATTATTTTATATAAAGATAGGACTTTCCTGTAAATTACACAATTTAAATCAATCACGTTTCAAAGATTTTAGAAATTTAAAAAAATAACCGGTTTATTTACAGACTCCGCATTTAAATAACAGACACAGATTAAAGTCAATATAACTATGGAAACATGAGGTTATTCAAGTTTAAAATCGGTGAAAATTTTAATTTGAACGTAAATAACATATATCATGTTTATTTACACTCATTGTCGTATTTCTATTTTTTTATAGCTCAGATAAGCCATACATAGCTTTAACAGTTAAAGCATTCTTTATGTAAAAATAAATAAGTAATAATTGGCAAGTTGCTTTTCGACAAGAAATAAACAGGTCCGGCACAATCTCTTGATTTAGCTATATAGCTTGATTTAGCTATATAGCTTTATTAAGCTATTCAGAATAGCTTGATTTAGCTATTTTATCACACTTTTTTCTTAAATGAGTTATTTTCTCAGAATGCACAAATAGTCGCACCTTGGTGCAGTGATAATATTCAACCTTGAACTCCTCTGAAAATAATGCATGTAAAGATCACTCATCAAATTACGTCTCCTTAAGAGACTTTGTACTCAAAGTTCTTAAAGTTTTGGGGCTATATAAAGCAATTGATACAGTTACTTCTTCATTGAAATTATAAAAGAGGCCAATTATGGTCAACAAGATAATTGATTAGTAATAATTCAGTACAATGAGAAGCAATCATACTTATCCACGCCTCGAAACACACAAGGTGGTGTACAGTTACTCAAACAATGGAAATTCATCTTTTGCTTAAAAGTATTCAAATGCTGCAATGTTAGAACTATCTTTGATTTCAGTTGTTGTTTTGATAGCCCATAGTACATATATGAATAATCAAATACTTCCGACTTTTTGTCTATTTCTTACAAAAAACATTTTTCTGAAAAACTGCACATAAATAGCTTTATCAAGCTATTTGGAATAGCTTAATAAAGCTATATAGCTTTTTCAAGCTATATAGTAGCTTTTTCAAGCTATATAGCTTAATCAAGAGATTGTGCTGGACCTGATAAATAATGAAAATGCTTAGTCTAGCAAAGGTTTCTGGAAAACTTCTTTTTCATATGATGTATAGGCGCAACCTGTTATAAAATTCAGCAGAAAATATGGTATATACATATCGTACCATTTGCATTGAATTCGTTTGGGTTTTGGTAACCGAGAGCGCTTAATTTTCTTCTAAACATTCTAACTGCAATAATGCCAATATCAGTTTTGATCACACGTTTCAACCTAATATCGTTACCGGATGTGGAGCGTGCAAGAGAAAAGATGAATTGTAATGGGAACATCAACAGTTTCCGGATTGTTTTATATCTACGAGTCCCCCCCCCCCCCCCTCAAAAAAAAAAACTAAATATAACGATAATAATAAAAGTTAACAATACTGTAAAAATGAGATGAGGAAATTGCATGCGTGGATCTAGAGGGGGGGGGGGGGGTTCCGGACCCCCTGCAATTTGCAAAGTTATTAAAAGTATATATGAAGAAAATAAAAAATGACTTTGGACCCCCCCCCCCCCAAAAAAAAAAAACGTGGACCCCACCGTCATCACCACAACATAGGTGTTTTTCACATTTGGAAAATGGATTTTAGGTGGGTTTTTTTTTTTTTGTTTTATTGTTTTTTTTTTTTGTTTTTTGTTTTGTTTTGTAATGTTTTGTTTTGTAATGTTTTTTGTTTTGTTTTGTTTTGTTTTTTTGTTTTGTTTTTGTTTTTTTTTTTTTGCTTGTCAAGAAATTTTCTGGATTTAATACGTTTCGGAAGGGAATTTGGTGTTTTTGTTTTTGTTTTGTTGTTGTTGTTGTTGTTTTTTTTTTTTTTTTTTTTTTTTGCTTGTCAAGAAATTTTGGGTTGGAAATTTTTTTGACTGGGATGGTCCCCCCCCCCCGGAAAAAATCCTGGATCCGCGCCCGAATTGTAAATATTTTCAATTAATTTTTCACGAACTATTCGTAATAATCTGTCGTTTATAGCCAAAAACATATTTTTTAAAAAAGAGAACACCGCTCCCCCTTTTGAAAATACAAAACTAAGGATATTGATACAAAACACACGTCAATAACATTTCTTGACTTAATTATAACGTTTAATCTTATCATGGGAAGGTAAAGGCGTAGGCCGGGGCCTTGGTACAGAGGAATGGAGACAAGTGCCTCGGTACAGGACCCCCCCCCCCACCTCCACCCCCACTCCTTTCCCAGTCACAAAGCGGCTTCATGACTATATTTCCAAGATTTATTCTTCTACTCAAAAATATATAAAACAAGCCACTGGTATAAACAAGGAATTTTTACAGGATGGTGTCTGCCAACTTTCTTATCTTTATACCGGTGGCTTATGAAGCGGCAAATTAACATAACTCAGACAAATGGAGATACCTGCAAATAACTGAAGATTTCATTTACATTGTATCCCATTATTCAATCTGATTAAAATCAGATCCTTTGATCCGCTCACAGATCGCTAGCGATCTATATGAGCGGATCAAAGGATCTGATTTTAATCAGATTGCCCCATTATTGTGCGCAATAATTGATGTGGTGCACTTCAAATCAATTATTGCTTTCATCAGTTGAATTAATGAGAGCAATGTTTTATTTGATGCATGCATTAATATTATTGTATTTAGTTCATTTGATGTGTGTACGTATGTATAATAGTTGACCTCAACAATGTGATGGAATAATTAATTATTTGTTTTAGACCTGTGTATAAATGATTTGTTGATCCCTTTAGATATTCAGTTGATTTTTTTTTTTTTTTTTTTTTTGCTTGTCAGAAAATTTTTGGTAGTGCCCCCTCAACTGTCAACTGAAAAATATTTGGCTGTGCCCCCCCCCCCCCCCCAAACTGAAATTGCTTCCTACGGGCCTGGTATTGATGCGTGCATCATTTCGTTTCTAGCGAGCAATAATATTCAATTAAAGAGATCATTATAATGTTGCTTTGAAGATATCACTTGCTGCTTTCTCTAAAAGAATTGTTGTCCACATTTGTAGGATAAATATGTCACTAATATTCAATTAAAGAGAGAAATAATTTCAATTAATGCTCGCATTAATTGAATTATTGATCTCTTCCATTGAATTGCTTCGCGCATAAATTCAGTTAGTGTACTTAAAGAGTTAACACCCCCTCGCACTTTACATTCAAGGATACCCTACTCATTTCTAATGCTCCATGGTGGTTTATTTTTTTAATCATTTATTGCTTTTTTCTTCTTCTTTTTCGATGGGGTTCCATGAATGTAAAGTGCTGGGGGATCAGTGGGTAAGTTTTTTTTTTTAGCAAGAAAATAGGGCCTAGTTTTTAATTATGTACACACAACTATACCTAATTTCGTCTGAGATTCGTTTAGTTTTGATATTTGGAGTGACGCCGTCGCAACAGACAAACATCCAGTCAAGTCAATTACACATGACATGTTATTTTTTTGGCGCGGAAAGTCACAAATTGATTTGTAGCCAATCAAAATAGAGAAAAATTACAGTGCGAGCCTGTTTTGTTGTGATTAGTTCCTCTTCGAGTTTCCTCGGGTGCACGCAAGGTCCTCTAGGTGTGCACAGGTAAAAGCAATAATGAAGGGAACGATCGAGTTGAACAATGTAATTATATCGGAGGAGAGTGTGAAGGAAATTTGTGATGCAGCTAACGGTGGGAAATTGAAGACACTTTCTTTGCGCGATTGTGAAATTGACGAGACATTTTGCAGCTCTATTTTGAAGGCAGTTGGAGCTTGCAAGTCAATTTTGCAGTTAAGCTTGTGCGTTGGCATGGTAAAAACTAAAAAAGATGTTTCAGCACTTTGTAGGTGCTTACAGAAAAACAGATCTCTACTCGCTTTGTTGTAAGTACTTAATTCTAATTTATTATTTTTAATCAGTTAATATCAAGAATAAAAGCTAGTAACTTAATTATTCATTATTTTGAACTTTCAATATCGTATTTTCACAAACTTGCCTAAGAATCGCAAAATATTGCGTGACTTCTGTAAAGAAATGGAAAAAAAATCAATGAAAAGAATCCATACATGCAGTAATTAATTGGCTGGCAAATAATAAATATTTAATCTAAATGGCCCCAGTGGTTATTTGCAATCACTATTATCAGTATTCAAATGTATACTGTATTCAGTACCCATATAATACATTACTATTATAGCATCCATGGTAATCCCCTAAAGGATTCAGGTATGCAGAGAATCTGTGGAGAATTAATCCATCATCCACACATTGCAACTCTTGATGTCAGTGACTGTGAATTAACAGACCAGTCTATGGAGTACCTGTGTAATCTATTACCAAAGACTGGCACAAAATCAGGTGGAGAAAGGGTTTATCTTCTGTAATAATACCAATAAAATGTAGCCCACCATGATAAAGATTCTAAAAATGATATATACTATAGGTGCATGGAATACATCTGTTTAAAACCTAAATTCTCATTTTAAAAAAATGTATGTCTTTGACAGATATTTCTGTAAATAACATAATTAGTGTGAAATTAATTTGGCAAGGTTAGATTATATTTATTCCTAGATTTGCACATACTGTCTCTAAAAAAGTAATTAGATTAACTTCAATTGTATTATTTTTATTTTTTTTTTTTGATGAGAAAATCTTGTAAAATTGCAGAAGAGATGATTTTTTGGCAAACAAAATGTGATTTACATGTTTAGTACCCCCCAATATTTTCTGATATAAAAACTAAATAAAATAAAATTATTTAAAACATTAAAAAGGCAAATAATATTCTTGTACAATCTGTAAAGGGAGAAAACTCTTTGTAGGTTTGAAAGACCTTTCCCTCAGTGCTAATCCTGGAATATCACAGAAATCCTGGACAAAGTTTGCTGCTTCACTAGCAGCCAGCAGCAATCTTCGTGAGCTCTATCTAGATTACAATAACCTTGGTGACTATGCAGCTAGTTGTATCGTGATTGGGCTTACTGGGTCACAAAATCTTCAGGTCCTTGATTTAGAAGGCACAAACATTGGAGACTCCACAGCTGAGGTGAGTGACAGTCTTCCTTTCAAATGACTAAATATGAAAATACCCACCCATCTTAACACCCCCCCCCCCCCCCCCCCCCGTAGAAAAAAATTCAATCCATCAAGATTGTTAATCTGGACTTTTAAAATATTTGTAGTAATACCTGTACATCTTTTATTATATTATTCAAAAGTGATGATTCTGTATCATTTAACTGGTAAAGGAAGGATGTAATAAAATATAAACAATATAATAATTCAGACACAACCTGAAATGCTACATATTCTTATTGCAGTTGATTGAGCATTTACTTGAAAAGTTTCCCTCCCAGCTTCATAAAGTGGTGCTGAAAGAAAATAAAATAAACAGCAATATCATAGAAAAGATTTCTTCCTTTCTGGATGAAAGTGACGACATTTCTGACACATTTAGCATTCAATCCATGAAACTAAGAACAAAATCATCTGGTAAAACTTCAAAGTCCAAAACTTCCACACAGAAGAGCTCCACCCTGAAAGACAGCACTAGAGAGGATGAGTTATCATCAGAGGATGAAAAAACTGATAAAGAAAAAGAAGAAGAAAGTGATATGAAAGACACTGTGAAAACTGATGAAGATTATCGTGTGCTGGCGATGGCTTTGGAGGAGGGACTGAGCACCGGGAAGATCAGTGCCCTGTCTGGAACCATGGAGGAAGATAATGAAGAGGAGGAGCTTACAGAAGTCCCGGTGACATCACAAAGTCCTGTGATACGATTCACAGAGAACAAACCACAGACTTGCTCTGCAGAGGACTTTGGTGATGAAGGAGATGAACTTAAAGAAATCCCCCTTTTTCAACATGCCACTATTTGACAAGCCGGAATATTTTTATTGTCAACATAATATATGTCTTAAATTGATTAAACAAATTGTTTTAAACATTGAAAAGAATTTGCCATCTTGTCACCTTTGAAATGTCACAAGATCTATAGCCCTAATAAATATTAGTGATGAATATCAACTAAGTTACTATTATGGTACAAACCTATTTATAATGAATGACATCTTTAAGTGAGGCAAGTCTCACCTTGAATGAATCTTCAACTAAATATTATGTTGCTACTCAACCTTAAATGTACTAAGTTTGTCCAAAACTAGAATTCATAGATTCAACATCCTTGCAAGTGTGATTAATGTTGAGGTTATCTTGCATCTGGGCTGCGTTCAAGATTGTAGCTGCTATGTAGCTCCATGTAGCTGCTATGATCTTGAATGATATGCTAGCCTAGCCATAACAAGCATTATGATAGAAAACAAAGGGTTTACTTCAGAAAACCACAGAATCTTCAAGATACCAGTAACTACTCTCTGTGTTTGTCCTTATCACATTCATCACAAAATTTCACATTCATAGAACATTTTATTTCCTTTGTTCCATTAAGTTTACCATTTTCTGAATAAATTATTCCATAAATACAATTATCAGAACATGTACCATATATATACACATTCATTGTAGAGCCTTTCAGTTACTGCTTACAATTTCTGTAAATCATGTTTTTGTTTCCAAATTTACAGCATTTTGGCATGTGTATTCGCCTAGGGATACTTTCATATTTAGTATATCTATAATGCACATGTAAATAGATTAAAATTGAATGAAATATATATGGAAAAGTGGTTTTGAAACCTACATGCATGGCAGCATCATAAGTAATGCCTGCTTTTACTTTTCCAAATAAGAAAATTTTTCCTTAGTACTTGCCAGTAAAAGTTTTACAGTCTCAGTTTCTGTTTCTTGGTGAATCAATTTAAAAGGTGAAGCCATGTAAGTTATAATTATTGGTTCTTGGTCACAGAAAAACAAACTTAAAAGCATTGTATACACATACATTAAATACAGAATTTTTGGCTTGAACTGAAGACCCAAGAGTAAAATAATCATGAGTACAACATATTCTAAATGTCTTTTGAAAAAAAAATGAATTGAAAAAATTGTAATTTAAATTTCACTAAAGCACAGATGCAATCAAACTGCTTTAGTATTCTTATGTTTCTTTTTCTTCTTTTTCTCTGATGGGGGAGTGGGTGGGGGGTAGTCAAATTTGAGCTTCCTGGGTGTCATGTACTGCCTGACCACTTCATCCGTGATCGTGGTCCTCCTCTGTCGATGTTCTCCAATCAACTTCTGTAGAATTTCTATCAACTCCTTCTTAAGGAAGCCTGTCAACAGCTCTCCACTTGTGTAAGTCTGAATACATAAATATTAGCATGTGACAGAAGTCTTTCTCTGAAAGGCATGAAAACTTACTTAAGCATGCAGAAATGAAAGTAAAACTTGGATATATATTGAATCACCCAGAATGATTGAAATAAATGATTTTCTAGTAATTTCTGTGTTCACTATAAATATGTTTTTATTGTGCCATATGTGTGAAAAAGATGTCAATAATTATTGACGATGTACAGTAAAAATCCCAATAGCAAGGACTAAGCATTCATTTGCCTGTTTAATGTCTATGAGTAGAGAAGAAGATTTTCAAAGATGAAATGTAAATGAAGTTTCAATGACCAACTACCAGGTAAGCCCCACCTTATGGCTGAACCAAGGACAAAAGGGGTCTAAATTTTATAATTTTGCTGCGAAAGGCATGAAGATTTTCTAAGATGTAAAATATCTTCACTGTATTAGTGTAAGCCCAACTTTTCCTCAGTCTGGAGCCTGAACCCTGCGCTCAGGTGCTATGAATTTCAAAATTTTGGCAGAGGATCTTTTGCTTATTACTGGTACAATCACACTAACAGTTTGACTGCTTGATGCCCAGGAGTAGAGAAAAATAGAGGGTTTTTAAAAATTGCATTAATTTTGATGGTTTTGACCACATCTCTAAGGCCCCAGGGTGGAAAAGACTTTGAAATGTACAATTTTTGTTCCCCTTTACCCATAAATGATATAGACTAAAATTGGTTAAAATTGGTTCAGCAGTTCCAGAGAAGAAGCTGAAAATGTTCAAAAGTGTAAAAGCAAGGAATGATCAGGAAAAAAAGCCCGAGATAGCAATATTTCATGTGAGTGATTCGTGTGACCAAATGAAACTGTTTTATCTCAAGAGTCAAACAAAATGTTGTAGTAATTATTCTAACCTTCTTAATTTCCTCCAGTCTTTCATCACTCTCCATGAAGAATGTCATATACTGAAATGCCACGTCAACATCGCAGTTACCTCCCTTCTCCTTGTGTTCCTCAACAGTGGCTCCACCTCCAGAAAACGCATACTTGTTAATCTGTAACAGTGAAGTCATCATTGTCACATCTCCTATCATGACTTACTTCCTCATATACCTGTATGACCCGTATAAAGAGCTGGGTTCTCTTAATGCATAAAATAGCCCTTCTATAGACCAGTTAAATGTCACAATATGTCAAAGAATGAGTGGATTTAACACCTAATTTTGGATCTTTTTGCGATTCCTCTACCAAGCTGTAAATGAAGTGAATCCAAAATATTTTACAAGCAATAGAAAGAGCTAGGTAGAAAATTTGTACAAAAGCAGTGCCTTGTTGCTATGAATCAAAATTGAAGCAACGATACATTAGTGTTGCCGTCCGGAATTTGACATGTACCCGGAGTGGTTTTTAGGTCGCTTAATCAATATTAATAGGAGGTGGGGTTATTGATCGGCGTCAGTGTCGACATCTCTCTCTCCTTTCTCTCTCTAGAAATTCGAAATTGTGTATGGTATATTACAGCAATGTCAATATGAAATTAATGTGAGAACACGCAAAATTGTAACAACGTTTAATTCGCTAAATTCTGAAAATTGCAACCAAACACACTCCAATGATTTAGATCAAGGTCAAGCTGAAGAATACAATGTATAATAGTTTTCACGAGTACACTCGCAGGTGGACATCACGTGATGAATTGAAATATTCAACAGGTCAATCGAAGTCAAATCAAGGTTAACGCAGTCATTACAATGGAAGCGATAAGTTTGTTTTGAACATGTTTTTTGTAAAATTAAGTATGAGTGCACGTTTGTCGGCTCTTCTCCTTTTAATGACATTATTTTGTTCAATATACAACTACAGTTTTCTTAAGAACAGCCAACAAACATGTGCTGACTATGTATTCAGATGATGAAAAATGTGTGACCCTGATTATCTATTGATATTCAAGAAATCTTCGGGCCCCATGCCTTTGATATTAATTTAGTTTTTCTCGAAAAGAGCGTTTTAAATTCATATCTGCACCAAGAATACACGGTTAACATATGCGGTATTTACATGATGGAAAGAAATAAACATTTTATAACACTTTAATTTACGGCATTTTTTCTGGACACTTAAGTCCATCCATTCTTTCAAACATTAATATAAATTCATGCTTTCATTAGCCATACCAGGTTTCTTCTGGGAAACCAGATATATAAGAACAGGCTTAACGATATTCTGATGTTCTTAAAATTGTTGTACAACAAAGAATTTACTTATGAGCACAGGTATAATCCAAAAAGTAAAATTTGTGACAATATGCCACGAGTGATACTTGCTTCTAACTACATGTAATTGATTACAATCAATCTTCCTGAAGATAAGGCCTATGTTTTACAAGTGCTGAAATCCTACTGATAAGAAAATAAATTCACTGAAAAAAGAAATCTTTTGAAATTTCACATGGACTTATTAAAGGTGCATAGACACAGATCTGAACTTAATATTTTCTCAAATTTTCTGCATAATATCACAACTTATATATTGCAATAACATTTCACACGAAAATATAATTAAAAACTTATTTTATCTGGAAATTATTGGAACTGTGAATTCTGGGACGCGTTTGATTAACACATTTTTATACTTACTCAAATTTTAACTTTATCCTTAATATTTAAGAAAAGAAACGATTTTGTTATGTATTAATGAAAAATATTACATCCATAATCCAGAAAATTCAGAGTAGAAATGTTTGAAAGCAAAACCAACTCACCAGTATTGTCAGTCCATGCTCTGTGATGTGTACAGAGTTTAACAAATTGAACATACCCGTGAAACGTAAACTGTTTTTGTAAACAGGGCACAAGCTCTGTTATTGTTAATGTTTACGATTCACCAGGTGTGTTCAATTGTTAAACTCTGCACACACCACTGAGCACGGACTTGCAATACTGTAAGTGGGTTTTGCTTTCGAACATTTCTACTCCGTATTTTCTGGGTTATAGTTTTAATATTTTTCATTAATACACAACAAAATTGCCACTTTTCTTAAGTAATAAGAATAAAATTGAAATATGTGAAAGTGCAAGGATGTGTCAATCCAACGCATCCAGAAATTCGAAGTTTTAATAACTTCAAGATGAAATAAGATTTTTATTATATTTTAATATGAAATGCTATAGCAACATATGTCATGAAATTATACAGAAAATTTGAGAAAATATTAACTTCAAATCTGTGTCCAAGCACCTTTAATTCGATCCTTTTTGAAATTTGGTATGAAAGTGCTGTATATAAATTCCAACATGAGAATTTGGAGCAGAGGAAATCAAAGGGAAATTAAATGTTGGGATGATTTAGTTAAAACCTTGTTTACTTAACAAACATTCAGTAAAGATATGCATGAAAGTAAATTTTTTCTAATTTTATACAGGTACCTTATCTTTGATCTGCTTGTCAGAGTCTGTCACAAAAATGGATGTGGTGGGGTCACTTGCACTCATTTTGGTCTGTGCTCCCTGTAAAGCTGGGAAGAATGTGGAGTGGATCAAAGCTGGCTTCAGGCAGTTCATTCTTGGAGCTACATCTCTAGTCATTCTGAAGTAGGGGTCCTGAAGAAGGATTAAATGCATTTAACAAAGTTATATGTAATCGTGATACCACCATTTGAAATCAGTTTTCTCAGTACAGGGGGCAGTATTAAACTCTAAAACCAAGAAATCTGCAGTCATTTTCAAAAAAATCTTGGGATTAATTTTCAATGTAAGAGAAAACTTACAATTTTGTTCCTTTTCAAAGAAATTTATGCAAACCTTACATCTTACCAATGGTAAAATTATTTTATGTCATAATCTTACTCTCCTCTAAAGCATCTTTTATTCAGTAAGACAAAGAGGCTACTGGTACACCATAACAATCAACTCCTAACATTTGACGCATTGGAAGATTTTTTTTTCTCAACAAACCTGATCTATTGCACAAGGGATGAGACAGGGTATGTCAGATCTGCCATTAAAGATCTCTGGAAAGGAGGAGCTGAAGCTCGGAGAAGCTTGGATAGCGGGGAAACTTATCTTCCCAATGCAGTCACTGTCACCAAAACCAAAGATTCCCTTCACTTGATTGTAAGTCACCAGCTTCTGTACCCGGCACATGTTTCTGTAGAAAGCTGGACTATTCCTGGAAATTAAAGAATTCTGTGTATATGACAGTAACCTCAGACCATAATTTTACTGCAAGAATAATTTACCATTTTAAATATTAATATTATTGCAATACATGTATTAGGCTTAACATTTATTGAAGTTCCTTATCATTTACCTTAAATATTCATACCATCAAGCAAAAATCAACTTTTCATAAAGTGGAAGTACATATATTGACATTAATTTCTAAATGTTATAGTATTGCTTAATTGTGAAACATCGGGGCTTACGATATAAAGTCTAAATCACTGAAAATGAATGTCTTCTCAATATCAAATCCACAGGCTATAATATCCTTTGCATTCTCAATGGCCATATGATTAGCCTGTTCAAGAGTAAGGTCCTTCCACAAGTATTTCTCATCATCTGTCAGCTGTATAACTAGTGGTACATCAAATGTGTCTTGCAACCACCTGTAATCAGGAATAGGTAGTAATCATTAGTAATTATGACATGTACATATACATATAGCCTGACATAGTCATTTATAGAGGTTTACTTTGAAAGATTAGTAAAACAAAAAAAAAAATTATGACAAAATCTAATAGAAAAGCAATTTTTTTTTTAAGAAAGTACTACATGTAAATCATTACTTTTTCTAACAAATATTGTTTTCAGAAATAACCCTGGTGATCTCTTATTTTACAAAATATGATCTGAATGTGATTTCTGAAGATTGCAATATTTTTTTACTTTGTTAAAATCATCTAATTTTTTTTTGCCTCAATATAAGCAGAGACTTAAATAACAGAGATTCCCAACTGTTCGAAACTCACAATTTCTCAGAGGCTTATAGTTAACTTTTTTCAAACCTTGCACTGTTTTTAAAAATCACATAAATTCTTAAAATAATAAAGGAAAAGAAAGTAGAATCTTTTTTTTCATATCAACAAATTATTCGGAAAGTAGAATCTTTTTATTCATATCAACAAATTATTCGGAATGACACTGTCATGATAGTGTAACCTGAAGTGGTCACCCATCCAAGTGTTATACAGGCTCGCCATTGCTAAACTTGCCTGAAATAGAGGGAAACTCTACCGATCACTAAAAGAGCTAGCTGACTAGCGAGGCAGTATAAGTTCCCTATATACTGTCTGCTACAGTAGCTCAGTCGGTAGAGCGCTCGCTCCATAATCAGAAGGTTGCGGGATCAAATCCCAGCCTTAACTAAATATACATGTTATGTGGAGTTGCAAATCTCTGTTACAAAATTTATGTTTTTATAAAATATATGTCAAGTTGCTTTATATCAAATACATGTATCATTAAAGTTTAGTGCATATTAACTTCAATCTGATGAAAAAAATGTTGGGGAACTAAATATTTTGTAATAAATATGTTTACGTAATACATGTATTTCAATCAAAGTTACATAAAAACTGTTTCTTACTTGGTGAAGATAAATGGAATAAGATGACCCATATGCATTGCATCAGAGGAAGGCCCTCTTCCTGTATATAGATAGAAGGGCTTCTTTTGTTCATACATGTCTAGGATAGAGTGCATATCCCTGAAAATATACAAAAAATATTTTTAAAAAACCCATTTTTTCATCACATCATAAATTAATTAAATAAAAAAGTACAACATATTTTGAAATACATTACAAATCATATTTACACAATTAAGGCTCCTATAAACAACCAATATGATTAATCAGTTGAATAAATACGTTTCAGTAACTACAGTTGAACTTTGGTATCTGGAACATAATACAGTTAAACTTCGTTATCTCGAAGTTGAAGGGACCGTTGATGAACTTCGAGATATCCGGGGGTTCGACATATCGAGGATTATAATTCTAATGAACTTCAAATAAACTTAGTGCAGTGAACATACACTTAATAGTAGAAACATGTCAAATTCCTTCTTGTTTGAAATTCTGTATACGATTTCTTTAATATACATGTACATGTAATTAGCATTAAAAACATTTTTGCATCCTCTTTATAATTCACAAAATAAAAACTTTGTATAATATGTACAGAAGTATAATCCTTAAACCAACCCGGCAAGTCAACCGCTAGCATCGTTTACCATGTATACATAACCGGATATCGTCTATGCATTGTAAATTTAAAACCGGTCGCTGTCAGAATAACGCAAACGAAATATACATTTTTTTTATTGGAAAAACATGTTCATACATGTATAATCATTTAAATAAAATATTTTACCATAATAAAATCAAATGCAAAAGAAGAAACACGCACTTTTGTCTAACTACAGATGAACACTGAATCACAGGACACTATAGCAGAAGCTTGCTCACATGATTGTGTAAATTCTGTGCGCTCATATAGGAAAAATAAATTCTTATTGCATTAATTACAGAATTTTGTTTCACTTTCATGTTTATAATTTTCGCTTTCATATGCATAAACTATGCAAGCGCGCATATTACACATAGCATTAAATAGTAATTATCAAGATAAACGTACCCCAGCCACGAAAGAATTAACGTGTCATCCACGCGTATGCATAAGACTAATACACACAACCTTTGGCTTGCATAATTAAAATCAAGGTAAGCCATACATACACCTCAAATAATTATCGCGCTATTATCTGTTGATCACAGGAACACAGGTAACCCGTGCGTGACAGATGGGTGGCTGTTGTCAATAGAGCGTTCAGTTTACCTAACGGACTTGATCATCAGAGCGGAAAATTATCCTGACTTCGAGATAACGCATGTGATTTTAATGAATGGGTACACAATTTTACTTCGAGATAACCGGGGTATTCGACATTACCGTGTTCGAGATAGAGGGGTTTATTTTAATCATTTATAAAGCAAATTTCGTCGGGACCGCGGTCTTACTTCGATATATCCAGGGGATTCGAGATATCCGTGTTCGAGATTTCGAAGTTTAGCTGTAGCTTAAATATCATGGATATGTCAAAGTGAGATTTGCAAGTCCCAGCAACTTTCTCTATGCATTTAAGCCTCAATATTTCAAACTCCCAGTTATCTTCAAGTTTTTCTTTGCCCAAATAAGTCCAAAATAATGATATTTGAGTGACTGCATTAATCGAACAAACCTCTGAGAGAAGAACTTCCCCCTCCTGAGGAGATGGTGTACAGGCTTTCCTGTGACCCTCTCCATTCTCTCTATCAAGGCATCATCTATTTTGGTGCTTCCAAACCTTTCTGATGAAAATAATATAATTTTAAATTAAGAAGGTATAAACACAAATGAATAATAAGGTATAACATTACAATCAAATCTAAAGTGGAACACACATTATGACAATATTATTGCAAATGCAAATAAATCATTAGGATTCCTTAAACGTAATCTGAAAATTTCAAATACAGAAGTAAAATCCAGAGCCTATCAAGCAATAGTGTGCCCTAAAGTCAAGTATTGTTGTAGTGTTTGGGATCCACATACGACACTGTATAGACAAAAACTTGAAATGGTTCAAAGAAGGGCGGCTCGCTATGTACATAACAATTACCACAATACCAGTAGCGTTACAGACATGATTAGTACACTACAGTGGCCAACACTAGCTGAGCGACGCCTCAAAACCAGATTAATAATGTTTTACAAGATAGTTAATCAACTTGTTACTATACCCACAGACATACTCATACCTACAGATGCAAGAACCAGACAAAATCACACACAAACATACATACATTTACAATCAACAAAAGAAACATACAAATGGTCCTTTTTTCCACAAACTATAATACAATGGATTTGCTTCCCCAGTCTGTTGTCCAAGCCACTAAAGTAGAAATTTTTAGAGAACAGCTAACCCCAGCTGTTCTCAACACTATCACGTAAAAAGTAACATTTCTTTTAATCACAAATGTAAATAAAAGCAGTTTTTTTTTTCTTTATATTAAGTTTGCTTAAGTCACGCATGCACACCAGCAAGTAATCTTCAGCGCTCTGAAGTTTTGTTGTAAATAGAAGAAGGAAGAAGAATACTAAAAATGTACATCACTTTTAATATACATGTAATAATTACTTTTAAATCAAAAATTCAAATGTTTTTATTAGATAAGTTGTGTATGTGTGTGTGTGGGGGGGGGGGATGCGTAAATATATTGATAAAACTCTTTTATATATTAATTTAAACATATTACAATAAATCCCAATCTTTATACAAAATGCCTACTTATCAACTTGTCATAGTCCACCCCGGTTGCAGAGGTTGAAACCACTTCCCATGGATTCACGATGAAGTCGTCATCGCCAGTCCCTAATTTGTCTTCTTCTTTAATTGACATATTCTCCATTTCTTGTGCTATATCAGTCATATTTCCGCAATTTCACACCGTATGTTTGAAGGCTATACTTTTCACACGTGTTGCATCACGTACTTTCAATTTCGAGACTGAAAATGGTTTGACTAATGCACGATATTGCTATTAATGATAGGTATAAAAGATTGATGAAATAAATAAGAATTCTGGCTGTGTGATTATTTACATTCTTATTATATATATTTTTTGTATTAAGCAGAAGAAATAAAATAATGAAATATCTTTCTTTTTTCCTTCAAAATAATTTTTACTAGTATTAGCCTTCCCAGCATTCTGTGCGACCTTACAATATGTCTGCGCCCATGTTTTGTTGATGTTTTATCAAGCCGGTGCCCTGAGTATAGTTGTATATTGTTGTTTGGACTTATCCTTTTAAGAAATAGGTTCATGTAAGGTAACAAATGTTCTATGTTAGAGTTCCAGCAGGAGTACTGTAATTACTTCAAAAGATACACTAGTTTTGGTCCATTTTTTCTATAAGACTAGATTATTCTAAGATACACAATTCTGTTTATTGGTTTCTGATTTAGACAAACGGTGTTGCGATGGTTATTAAAAATAGAAATATCTTTGAAATTCTTTTAAAACGATACTCCTCCTCCTATAGTCTTGACTTAATGCACAAGTAGTCTGTACCAAGATACATAACTTAAAAATTAATTCAAATTATGTTGTTCAGCAATATCATCTTCCTCTGAAAATATTTTTTAATCATGTTATTTAGTACATATAATGAAAATTAAAACCGTAAACTTTATTTTTTAAAAATTACTCTCTGCAATACTGGAAATAGTTGCTCTCCTTAGCAATACTTGAAAGGGTTATTCCCCCTTTGTTGCTTCTCCTGTAAATAAATATATACCAGTATCTTGTATTAGCAGGGATTGAATCTCAATCTAGTACAGTTGAACTAAATGAACTTTGGTATCTCAATCATCAATATCTTAAATACCATGGATATATCTAAGTAATTTAGAAGTCTCAACCACATATTCCTTTAGCATTTTACTCTTGATAGATCTTGAATCCTCGGATATCTCAAAGTTTTTTTCTTGGTCCCATGGAGTTTGAGATATCAAGGTTTGACTGTATTTCTAAATTTTTTGAGCATTGTAACAATTATGTTGCTAATTTACTCTGGTGTTCTGTCTTGCATTGAAACAATATCAAGGCTGTAATAATATAATTTTCCACAAGAGATGTTTGAAAGTGTAAGCTTTCCAAAACACAACAAGTTTTAATACTGACATTTGACTAAAACTGTCTATTGAATTCATCAGCCAATTTTTGATTTATTTTGGAATATGGTGGAAAAAAGGAAAGAAAACATTGTGTCATTCTGAACTACTATAGTAACTCCTAGCAAAGCTACATGTAAGGCTGGTAGATGTGCTACTGTTACCTTGTGTAAAGAATACTAGCTTTGAACAAATGATAACTGTAGGAGCAAGTAAAATGTAAAATGTCACCTCCTATGAAAAAGGACACACAGTAAACTGCAAATTTACAATATATGTAAAGGCACAATAGGATCATATCAATAATATCAATACTTGCATTCCCTCCCCTTAAAAAAAATCTAGTTTTTAATGTTTTGTTGTGCATAGAAATTTTAGAAAGCATCATACTTAAAGGTAAATATGTGTTATAATCAGAAGGAATAGATAAGGCCATCATTAAAAAATTGTTTGGTTGTCCCCTTCCAACCAACTGGCTAAATTGACCCAACTCAAAACTTTTTTTAGCTCACTTTGTCAAAGTTAAGATGAGCTTATGCTATACCCCCCCGGCATTGGCATCAGTGTCCCGGTTAAAGTTTATTCCCAAGTATCGGTAAGCCCTACCTGGACCAAACTTGGATGGTGCATCTAGGGATGGACACTTATACACTTGCTTAGGATGCTGGATCTTGCCCACATTTTCCAGATGAGTGACCAGGTTAAAGTTTTTTGAGCAGTTTCATTCCCAAGGAACTATAAGACCTACCTGGATAAAACTTGTATGGATGAAGCATCTAGGGATGGACACTACCAGACTTGCTTTGGATGCTGGGTCTGACCTTTATTTTCCAGTTGAGTGACCAGGTTCGTTTTTTGAGCAGGTCCATTCCCAAGTAACTATAAGCCCTACCAGGACCAAACTTGCATGGATGATGCATCTAGGGATGAACACTACCAGACTTGCTTTCGGATACGGGTCTGACGTATATTTTCCAGATGAGTAACCAGGTTAAAATTTTTGGAGCAGGTCCATTCCCAAGTACCTACAAGCCCTACCTTGATAAAACTTGCTTGGATCATGCATCTAGTGATGGGAACACAAACCAATCTGCTTCGGATGCTGGATCTGACCTACATTTTGAAGATGAGTGACAAGGTTAAAGTTTTTGGAGCAGGTCCATTCCAAAGGAACTATAAGACCTACCTGGACCAAACTTGTATGGATAATGCAGGGTGAGCACTACCAGACTTTCTTCAGATGCTGGATCTGACCTACTTTTTCCTGATGAATGATCAGAATAAAATTTTTGGTGCAGGTCCATTCCCAAGTAACTTTAAGACCTTTCTGAACCAAATTTACATGGTGCATCAATCTAGGGATGCACACTACCTAATCTGCTTCAGATGCTGAGTGAATATTTGCCCTACATGGCATGGATGATGTATCTAGAAATGGACACTAACAGACTTGCTTCCAATACATCTGACCTAACAGTGTATTTTCCAAATGACTAACCAGGGTATTGTTTTTGGAGTAGCTCTGTATATGGCCTGTTATTAAGGGACTTGCATGGATGATGCATCAAGGGATGGACATTACTAGACTTGTTTCGGATGTTGGAACTAACCTATAATTTATGGATGAGTGAACAGATAAAAGTTTTTGGAGCAGGTCCATTCCCAAGTAAGTATATGTCCTACTTAAATCAAACTTTTTTAACTTGCATGGATATTGCTATCAGGATGCACACAAACTAGAAAAAAATTTGTTGTGAGATTTCCCTTACTTATGGATATCATCAAGGTGAGCTTCATAATCTTTGATTACCTATGTTTTTAACCTCCAGGAAACAATATTTTTTTATGCATTCAAGAAAACAGATTTTGAAAATTCAGCATTGATGTTAAAATTTTCTTGGGGAAAAAATTTCCCACTTACCTACAGACCCAATGTTTTCATCCTTAGTCAGGAGAGGGAAAACAAACATTATTTTAAAGTTGGCCAAAGGTAACTTTGTAAATGCCTGTGTCATTCAGACAATTATAGAATTTATTTTGTCGAAGGGATTACAAAAGATGATGAAAAAATTTACATTTTGCTGAATAGATATGTTTGAGGTCATTTATTATGGTAGATCTATTTTTGCCGATCTTTATGTTTTAGTATTTTCTTTAAGATATGCATGATAGAGGTATTAAAAAATATGTCATATACTTTTAGTTAGGAAATTTTTTTTATCCTTATGTAGGTAAACTTTGCTAAATTGGTCATTTATGGAAATGTCCATATTTCAAATAGCACATATTTTGGGTGGGCAAAAAATAAAAATATGTCTAAAATTTAGACTATTGGGTGAAAAAATTAACACATTTTAATTTGATTAGCACAGATTTTTCTATTGTCTTTTAAAGATATACACGCTATAACTTGCGTCACTTAAAAATAAAGTTGGAAATTTATTTATTTCGTTTACCAAATAAAGTTACGAAAATATTGTAAATTACACAATTGGAAATGAACGCTTTATAAAGATCTCAAATTATAATTATTTATTATCCTACTAGGAAAATAATGCCTCTTTTTAAATTTCATGCATCATGTGACACCGTCGCTACTTTTAGATTGATAAACAAAAATGGCGTCAAGAAAATGAGGTAGGCCGTTTGGTATACAAAATAACTTTTGATATGGATGGCATACATTTTATGCTTAAAGATACTTATCTTTGAAAACAACCAGTATTAACCATCTACTCTGTAATGACAGATATTAACTTTTATTCAAAATCATAGTCAAAATGCAACATACCTCGTTGTCTATGATTTCCCGCGGACATGCGTGTCTATATACTGTTTACGCACTTCCTTCATCAATATTCATGAATAGGCTGAATTTTTAATTGCAGATCTTGCTTATTTGTTTTGTTATTACAATAACTTATTTAGTAAAACTTTGTGGAAAGTAATTATTTTTAATTACATATCATGTTTCTCTAATCATTTAATCACTTTGTTTCACATAAAAAATCGCATTTATATAGCGTGTATATCTTTAAATGGTAATTTTCATGAACAAATGGCCTAAAATTGATTGTTTTAAAGATTACACAAATTCTATGTTTTGAGGTCAATTATCATGGTAGGTAATTTTTCCGAGCATGTTGTTTTAGTATTTTTTTTAAACCTATGATGGAGGTTTCAAATATAATAGGAATATGAAAAACAATGACATATCTTAAGAGATACATGTATATTACTCAGAATTTAGGCAAAATTTGCTAATTCGGCCATTTATGGAAATTCCTTATTTCAGGTGGTCCATTGGGGGTGGGGGTGGGGGCCAACAAATTAAGATTTCATTGTTAGATTTTTTGTGTTAAAAAATTATATATTCTAATTATATTAGCACAGATTTTCCACTCATCTTCTGAAACTGTAGTAATTTTTATGAAAAAAATTACCTAAATTGATTTTTTTAAAGATCAAATATGAGGTCTGATAGCAAAATGATAGGTGGCACTTCATATGACACCACACCTTCAAATATCAAAAATTATTTTGTATTCGGAATTCTTATGCCTAGTATCAATATGTATGTTATTTATGTAAAATATCAATGATTTTGCTGAAATATATGCTTGTGGACAGTTTTGCATGATTTTATCTGAGACAAGTTCTTCAGATGTACCAGTTTGCACAGCCAGTTGTTTACAATATGTAGGCCTTTTTCGGAGTAATTTGTGTGATGATTGCTATTTGCTATAGTGTCTTCATTGCAATTTCAGACATAGACAATGAATTAGCTAAATCCTTTGTTTAAGTTGTACTGTCAGTAATATTTATCATTTTAAGTAATGTAAAACTTTTTATATATTTGTATTTTTAGAATAATTCAATGGACCTGCTAAAGAGCTACTCTGATGAAAGTGAAACAGAAGACGAAGGAGAGGAAAAGCATGGTGAGGAAAATTCTGAGAACAAAAGCAACTGTAACAAGACAAAGTCAGACAGTGCTGAACAGTCCAATGTTGTTGATTTCTTTGGTTTAAATGATAATTCTGATGAGGAGTCTCAAGAGCCCCCACTAAAGAAAACCAGGAAGTACCAACTAGGGTCACAAAAGGGCACAGATAGTTACGTGGAAGTTCCTGATAGTAATTTCTGGAAAAACTTTACTCCTCAAGAAAATCCAGATGATCATAATAGTTTTTTGGAGAAAAGAAATGTTGAGAAAAGTGTACATGCAGAAAACCATCAAATAAGGACGCAGAGAGGGCAAGTTTATCATCAAACCCAGGTACATCCGAGATCTTCTTGCCAGACAAACAGGGGTAAAGTATCGGGTTATAGAACAAAAGGACATGATCATTGTACTGCCCCTAGTGATCTTACTAGTCAAACTTTTATCAGAACTCACCAGTCTCAACAGAGTTTCAGTTCCAGCATTGAATCACAAACACAAAGGCAACTTTTCTATGTACATTCAAAGATAGCACCTCATTTGATGAAAAGCAATATGAATAACAGGTATCCACATCAGGTGGAGAAAGAACTAGAGGACCATACACAGACGGTAAACAGGGTGATGTGGAATAATCCACCTTACAGCCACCTGTTCCTGTCTGCTTCTATGGATGGAACTGTCAGGATCTGGAATATCTGGACTCAACTGTCACCTTGTGTTAAGCTTCTCAATATCCATAAAAAAGCAGTAAAAGATGCTGTCTGGAGCCTGGATGGAAGACATATTCTCAGCTGTAGCTATGACAAGACTGCAAAGTGGATAGATTTGGAAAAAGGTCTGTATAATAATAGGAATTGTTAATTTACCTATGCTATTTTGTTGATAAGGTTCATATATTTGGTTTATAGTTAGTCTTTAATACAAATTACTAAAAGTTCTGAGAAATTCTAAAACAGGCAGTCAAAACCTTTGAACTTTTGTATTAAAACATGACTTATTGCTAATATATTTTATTTACAGGTTCAGTATTGTCCACATTTAACAACACCTCCTTTGTCACAAGTTGTAAAGTTCACCCCAATGACCCTAACCTCAGCATCACAGGATGTCAGAATGGAATTCACTGCTGGGACACCAGAAGCAGTCAGTCCCCTTGTAGAACATACACATATAAGGATTCCTTTGGCCAGGTATGTTTTTCAGCAAGTCATCATGGAATTTTAACGAATGCTACTGTCTCCCTCCATAATACAGGTTTTTTTTTGTACTATTTTCTTCTTTTGACCAAACATCAGTAGTTTTTTTCTTTCAAAGATGGACTTAATAACTGGAAACAAGAGAATGTATTTTGAAAGAAGTGCATTTATGGTTTTTAGCACACTTGAGACTAAGGCTCAAGTGAGATTTTCTAATCAAAATTTGTCCATCGTCTGTCATTGTTATAAACTTTTCTCAAGTTCATCTTCTTTTCAAGAACCACTGGACCAATTTTAACTAAGCTTGGCACAGAGAATCCTTGGGTGAAGAGGATTCAAAAATATTCAAATGAAGGGCCATGCCCTCTTTCAAGGGGATAAACTGTAAACATACTTTTTTCCTCAGGGTCATAATTCTATCATCTTTGCTAGCCAAGGGTTTATTGGGAGCGAGTGGACTGAGAACCCTTGGCTAGCAAAGATGAACTCTATGGAATCACAATTTCTGTTCAATCTGTGAGTAGAAAATTATGCGGATTTATTTGATTGCCCTTGTTTGTCTTATATGCACTTTACGCCATGACTTATTTCTCCCGAAAATCTGTGACCACGTAGATAACGTAAATTAATCCCATGTGGAAAAAAAACATGTCTATAGTAATTACAAATTAATGAAAATTTAATGACATCTTTCAACGTCTTCTTCTCAAGAACCAATGGGCCAAATAAGTTGAAACTTATGTGGAAGCACTATTACATAGTGTAAATCTAAAGGCATTAATCATATTTATATCCTTAGGCAGTGTAGATTCAAGTATATTCAAATCATATTCTCTGGGGGTAGGGTGTGGCTACAATGGGCAATCAAAGTTTAATATAGGAATATTTAGGAAAAATCTGTGAAAATCTTCTCAAAAATATCAAAGGCATGATTAGTCACATTTATTTGAAGGCATCCTCAGGTAGTAAAGATTCAAATTTGTTCAAATCATGACCCTTGGGGGTAGGGTGGGGCCATAATGGGTGATCAAAGTACATAGGAAAATATACATGTACTGGGAAATCTTCTTAAGAACAGCAAATGCATGATTAGTCATATTTATATGGAATCATCCTCAGGCAGGTAGATTCAAGTTTATTAAAATCATGAACCCATGGGGGTAGGGTAGGGCCACAATGGACAATTGAAGTTTTACATAGAAATATACAGGGAAAAAAATCTGCTTATGAAGAACAACATAGCCCTGTGACTCAGAACAACATGTCCATAGTGACTCAGGTGACTATTGTGGCCCATGGGCCTCTTCTTTAATTGGCAATTGATTGCTCAGAATTGGAAGAGGTTTTGTAGTTTTTTGAATGTTCTTGCTTTACAATTATAAATTAATATTTCAGGTTCAGGACCTTCTTTTCAACAGAGATGGAAACACATTTTTCTCAGCAGGAAGTGAAATTACACAAGACTCAGCAGATAGAAATATCATGGCCTGGGATTTCAGGTCAAGCAGTGTCTTATCCAACCAGATCTATCAAGTAAACTGCTTTCACATTCTGAAGTTTAATTGAAAGGCTTTTATGAATGATTTTTGTTATACAAAATGCTGAATATTACAGCCTTGCCTCTTAGAGTTCAAAATACAGTGTATAGTTTATATACAGGATCTCCAATGGTTTATGGTTGGATATGACTTTTATCCAGCAAGTTGTGTTTTTTAGCCACAAGTCTTAGCAAGCAGGTTGTTTTTTTTTTTTATCCACAAGCCTGAACAAGAAGATAGAAAACACACAAGTTGGATAAAAATCATATCCAACCACAAACCATGGGAGATTCTTTGTATCGCATTTTACACTGCTTTTATATATGAATCCTCATTTATAGTACTGTAGATCACTAAATTTTCATGACACCTGATTTTCGTTAGATTGGGGTTTTTTTTTGGTATTTAAAAGCAAAACAAAATTTTCAACAATTTGGTTATTGCTCTAGATATAATCTTTAATAATAGAATTATAAGCAAGAATGAAATTTTCATGACTATACATTCTCACATAATTAAGAGAAAGTAAAGTTCTTGCAAGTAAGTGATTTTCAAATGCTAACTTAATATGCCTTCACTTTTAGGCAAAAAAGATCATTGTGATTTCACAACTGTTGAATACATATATCAAAAAAGTATTACATGAGAAAAGGTGGTATCCACTGGATATTAAGGGAGGCATGTGATAGAGAATTATGAAATTATGAAAGGAAGTCAATAGTCAAAAGTGTAATGTCACAAGGTCATTCTCTGTAAATGTATTTTATGTGCACCTTGTGTGAAGCAATACCTATGTAAAATACCAAAATCTTGCCTCTCACAGTTGGAAAAATAGTAGGTAAACGCTTGGCAGATTGCTAGACAAATGTCAAGAAAAAGGATCATTAAGTGTTGTTCTGCTTTGCAGGTGACACAAATGTGAATCAAATGAGAAAAATCAGTGATTTTTAGAAATGATAGTCTCTACCACTCTAAAGCTGCAATACACATTCAGTAGTGTTATCAGTCACTACTGTCAGACATTCAAAACCTCATATATCTTCAAGATGATACAACTTTGAACCTGTAGCTGATTATCCAGAAAATAAATTATTTCTTTGAGCTGCACTGTAATGTTATAATTTAACAAAGCTTTTTATTAATAGAGTATACATTGAATCTAGCTGCAGAATTGTACCTCTCTGGGACAGAAAATTATGACAGACATACCAGATTCTGTCCATGTCCTAGAGAGCTACGTTTCTGCAGGTACATTGAATCTATCAATGTCAGCCCAAAAACTACCCAAAGTTCAGATACCTTACTTTCAAAGTCCATAAATTTATAGAAAAAAAAAATCTTACTTCATAAATCTTAATGTTCAGTTACAAAGTTTGACTAACAATCTCTATTGTTAATGCCTTTATAGGAGAGGTACAGCTGTACTAGACTGAAGCTTCATCCAACATCTGGTCATTTCCTGGCACAGTCACATGGAAACTACATTGCCATGTTCTCTGTTAATCGGCCATATAAGATGAACAAAGCAAAACGTTTTGAGGGTCACAAGGTGGGTACAGGTGTACTATAATTTCAATTTGGTACATACGTGTAAAACATACTATACAAAATATTACCCCACAACACTGCAAACCAAGCTGATTGCCCATTCTGTTTACTTTCTTGCAAGAAATGCTTTGAAAATATCTAGCATGATAGGGCATAGAAAAAAATCATTAATATGCTATCTATCAGTATTTCCATATAATAAGAACTATATATCATTTGGATTAATTTCGAATTCTATTTCAGTTGTCTGGTTACTCATTAGGATTTGATATTTCTCCTGATGGATCTCTGGTTTTAAGTGGAGATGGTAATGGACAGCTATTCTGCTATAACTACCAATCTGGGAAGATCATCCAGAAGACTCCTACAAGTATGGATATACTCATGGATGTCAGCTTCAATCCAGTTCTGCCTTCCACTGTTGTGGTCTGTGGATGGAACGGAAAAATCCAAGTTCTGAATTAGAATCCAAATCTGAATTGTTTGGAATAATAACATATAACAGTACCTGATTTGTTACCCGTTTTTGGATAATTCTTGGAGGAGCAGCAGAGGAGGTGTGTTATTTGAGGTTGCCAGTGGCATCTCTACATTTATGGAATGGAAAACAAGCATCATATGAAATCACCAATTGTAAAGTAAGACTGGTCACTGCTTTATATAATACTGCATAATAACAGAAAGAGGACAACAAACATTGCAGAAGCTCCTAATTCCTTGAAATGAAAAGGTAACTAAATTTGTGTTCAAAAATATCATAAAGCACAGTATCTTTAATGATCTAGGTATCAGAGGTGCCAGTACTTTTCATTGATTGAAACTGACACGGACATTAACATTGCAATTTCTTTATTTAATAGCATAATTAAGTACAACTTTGGCACATAAAAAAAACACTTAGGATTTACCCCAAGGAAATTTTGGTTTAAAAAATATGGTAACAAAAATGAATACCGGTATATGACATCAACAATTTTAACTTCCATCATCATGAACCAAGGTCCAATCTGAATTAATATTACTTTTGTACTAATAAAAATGTTTTTGTAAAATCTTGTGATAAAGTTCAAACAAATTCCACCATATATGGTTTTTAGAAGAGCTACATTCTTTTTTTAATTATCAAAACTAGTACCCCTTAACCTTCATATAAAATCAAACTACTTTTATATACATATCATTTGGTAACTATTAAACCAATCCTGATTTGAACAAATCTACTCCTAGTCATCAACTGGTTTTGTATACATTGATTATCTACCTAGGTGTTTTATTTTCATAATGAAAAGTGTCTTTACTCTTGCATGACTGTTAAAGAGTCTTGCTTTATGTGTTACTATGTAAGGCACTCCATAGGAATGAAGTACACTGTACTGTAAATAAATCACAATGAATAACAGGTTATGTACTAAGATATGTATATCTTAACTCTATCTATGGCTCCTTTGTAAAATTTTCCAGACATAAAATTTTACATGGTAAAAATATTCCATCATGATTAAAATGTCATTTCTTTTGAAACCCAGAAAAATTAATCAAAATTGCATTATGCTGCACTAATGTATTAAAAATCTATGTTGAAACCCATGTACCCAATGTATTGACTTTGTAAACAACTTTAAAAAAAATTTCTATTCATCCTCATTAGTAACTTCTGTTTAACTTTCTCTTTAAGATAAAGTATATAAATTAAAAAGATAATAGCTTCACACTTCATCCAGAAATTTCATAAAAATGTTGAAATGGCAACAAAGGCACATCAACAATGTAAAAATATGATACAATGTCTAAAATGCATGTATATCTGTATTGAAAGCAGATCGAAAGTTATTCACATAGCTTTACCCATTAAAAGTCTTAAATACAGTTTTTTAAAAAAAAGTTCTCTTGCTTTTTTAAAATATGGTTTCCAACCTCTGATCATAATCTGTTGTTCTGCAACATTATATTATAACTTCAAAACAACAAAAATATATGGTTAAAGGATATTTAAACACCAGATTAACCTTCCTGGTTGGTCGGATATCTTGTGAAAATAATGCCAGGAATTTGACCTCGCTTTACTCCTGTGCCATTGCCCATTTCCTGCGAGTCAAGAAAGCTGAAAACAATGTCATGGCAAGTTACATTTGTCACTCCCTCCTCACTCCAGTATGTCTTTGCCCCTTTCATTTGTAAGTGGATACAATATCTCTTATTTGCTTGAGCGGTTGCAGGCTTTCTGAAGAAGACCTGGTAGGATGTCCTGTCAGGTGTTGTGGACAACTTGGTGTGAAAGTCTGCAATCACTTCATCTGTGTCATGTTTCCTCAGCCATGCAGATAGCTTGTAGTTAGACTTTTCCTGTCTCCCACCATATACTTCAATGCCATGTATTTCTATCTTTTTGGACACACGGAAGTCTAGCTTTTCAACTTCCCCAGTTCTCCATCTGAAGTTTTCACTGTTTGCTTTCTCTACAGCTCCTAATCGTGAGCATGTGATGAAGAATGGTTTTCTTTGATTTGTCACAAATTTGGTATCTGATAATTCTTTCTTGCTTCCTGCCATGTATGTGTACAAATCAATTTTTTCTTTTTCAGACAAAAGGTTGCATGTTTTGGCCACATTGTCGGCAAAAAATGTGAGATCCATGATGGGAAACCGAATCAAGTAAAACAGGTCACCAAGGACAACTCTCTGGTTCTCTTCAGTGTCTGCTAGTCCTTGGCGACTGCATTCCCTCTTAGCCCAGTTTGACATGCACTCCAAGATGTGATCTTCATCCACTGGAAGATCATCTCTTCCAATGATCCTAGTTACACACTGTCTACAAAGTTGTGTAAAAGCCTCAGACTGAAGACTCTCAAAGGCATGTTTAGTGATATAGTCGAGGCACATTTTGAAGAGTTCATCTTCATCAAAGATGTGTGCATTTTCTGCTATGACGCAAACATTTTCTGGACTTATGTTCTTCTCCAGAAAATTTCGACATTCCACAGTAACCTTGGAGATTCCATATTTACGAGCAGCATACAGAATGTGTGTAACATTGTCCTCTGTGATTAAAATTTCCTCACAGTACATAAACCTATTGATTTAAAATATACAAAATATAATAATTTCTTGAAACGTTGAAATCATTCATCATGGCACTATTTTTAAAGCATTTACAATTTTCTAAAATTGTGCAAAAATCATTTTATATATATTGGAGAGTAATAAAAAATATTTCTTAATCATACTGTAAATACCTTAGAATTTGTTCAAAAATGTCTTTTTCAATGTCAGGAATTTCAATAGCTTTGTCACTTTTATCAAATGGTCCATACAGCATTGCAAAGAACACACTACTTCGGCTAGCCAGCATGTATCTGTGAGCATGAACTTCTTCTTTAGACTTCCCCAAAAGAAAAGTTATATCACAGCCAATTTTGTTGTGCAGCATGTACTTGTTGCTTTCAGGTATGCTAAGATCTGACTGCCAGTCCCCTATACTCACCAGATCCATTCCTCTCTTTTACAATGCCCACTGTAAAAGATGCAAATTACTAAAATTTCTTTAAAACCTTTGGAATTAAATACAACTCGGTTAGCATGAATTCAATAATAAGGCATGAGGCCACATTGAATGTTGATTGTTTTGCCTCATAAATTAAAACGTCTGTTAAACGTCAGCTGCAGTTGGAACCAAATAATCACAATTTATTGCTTATTTTTGCGCGAATTCGATGATCTGCTCTATCTTTTGGGTTTATTATTTTCTTATATTTAGCATTTACCTTTAAATACTTAATGATATGCAGTTTTTATCCTCTAAATATGAGAAACTATAGTTTGTTTACGTTTTTGAGGGATGAACAGGCATTCATTAGCTCGTTCGTGAAATACTCTTATGTCGATGGTAATTTGATCCTCAAATAGGTTTTGACAATAGACATCAGAGTTCAAGTAGTAAGTACTTAAAAAATAGTTAATAAAAGATTTGAAGGCACAATTGCACAATTAATTATTTATAGTATCAGAGACCTATTTATATAATGACCAAATTGGAATAAGAAATTTACTTGCAATATATTCGAATCAGTGTGACCAAATAAGCAGGTGGTGCAATATCGCCACGCTTTCCTGGAACTGGACGTGCGTAAACCAATCAGAAGAAAATGATTATTCTAGGTCACGTGACACATTTACAGTACTTTGGACACTGACCATTATCTTGATGTAATCCGTTAATCCTCTCTGTTTATTAGCAAGTAAAAAAATGAAGGACTGACAAATTGGTTTGTTGATACGTATATTATAACATGATCCAAGAATACAAGGACTCATCGCCCATCAACAGATTTTCCAAACACAAATTTTATCACTAAGTAAATGCAAAAGATTAAACTCTTCTCTTGGTTACATTTCAAGATTGCTATTTGGAAAAAAAATATACATAAAACTAAGCTTCATGAGGCTCTAATTTTATTTTATTTTAAAGCAGAGTTACACTTAAACGATAACATTTTTTCGGGGGGGGGGGGTCCACATTTTTTGACAAGCAAAAACACTGGCGGATACAGGATTCTTGAAAGGGGACCAGTTTTGGGTTGGGGTGGGGCCCAAGGGGCGAAGCCCTCGAAAGCTTTCGGGTAAAAACTTAATGCAATATCCCGCAGCAAAAAAATTGATTTATTAATCTTATGTATATTTTTGGATACGAAAGGGGGAGCTGGGCCTACCTCTTTATAATCTACCAATGAAAAAAAAACACGTAAACAACTTTCCCAAATCTGAAAAAAAAAAAAAAAAAACTATTGGGGTGGGGTGGGGAGGTACAATGTTGACACTTTCCATAGTCAATTTTCTTCTTCATATATATATATATATATATATATATATATATATATATATATATATATATATATATAGTGAAATTGTAGTAAAAGTCCACGGTATAGGTAGGTTATAAATTAAAATAAAATCCAAGATAAACAAACAAGTTCACATTTAATTATTACACTAAGCGCTTTCGCCGTGAGGCTCTTCAGAGTGTAACAAAGTTTATAAAAACAATACAACTTGGTTGTTATGACGTCGTTATTGTGACGTCATAAAGGCAGCATTATATATTGGCGCAGGTAAATGTCATTAGGGCGCCAAAAGTAGAGAATTGAACATATGTACATTGTGATGAAATAGACTGCTAATTTTAAGCTATAATGTTCAATTTACATTTAGTTTAGGTTTAAATAATTTAACAAAGTAATCTTCCTTGGCTCTCCGTAATTGTTCATTATTTTCTAGAACTTTATAAAAAGGAAATATTAAAAAGTTTCCATTCGCACATGAATCAAAATGTTCACTGCATGGCGTATTCCTGACAGAAGGGTCCCGTATTTGTTGTTTATGGACTCTTATGCGGTCAGCTAGTTTGTTACCGGTCTGTCCAATGTAGTTTTCCCCGCATGAAGTACAAGTCATACAGTATATTAAATTTTTAGATTTGCATGACATATTCGCATTTACGGTAAATGTTTTACCACATTTAAAAGTAAACGTCTCTCCTGTTTTTAAATAAGGACAGGTTCCACATAGGGGGTCCATACATTTGGCCACTGTGCGTATGTCTTCATTTGACGAAAATTTGGCTCTTGTAAGGAGTTTCTTCAGGTTTGGGGGTTGTCGCCGGCTATAGATTATGTTCTTCAGGTCAATTAATTCCTTTAGATTTTGGGATTGTTGTAGAATGGGGAAGCACTGTTTTACGGAATTATACATATTAAGGTTCCGGGGGTTATGTGTAACGACAAGCGGGATTTCTTTATTGTTTTCCTGGGCCCCTGCTCTTGTAGAACTCCGGAGATCTGTAGTTGGTATTGACTTGGCCCTTTCAATAGCGACGTCTATTAGATCATTGGGATATTTTTGTCTAAGTAAAAAAGTTTTCAATTCCTGTAGACGGCTGTTTCTTCTGGTTTCATCTATGACAATGGTACAAACACGTCTTGCCATATTAAAAGGTATGTTACGTTTTACGTGTGAAGGATGGCAGGAATTAAATACAAGGTATTGGTGGGAATCCGTTTTCTTGTAGTATAAATCTGTTATGATTTTACGACCCTCCTTAATTATAAGGATATCTAAAAAAGGTAGTTCCAATCCGCTTTTTTCCACCGTAAATTTAATAGACGGGTGTAGATTGTTAAGAATTGAATGAAATTCTTGTAAATCTTCATTAGATCTGTTCCAGAAAATGAAACAATCATCTAAATATCGCTTCCAATTAAAGCGTATATATTGGGCAAACTGATTTCCAAATCTTCTGTCTGTTTCACTGATCAATTTTTCTTCTAAAAACCCAAGTACTAGGGTGGCATAGGTTGGGGCAACTTTTGTGCCCATCGCTGTTCCTTTTATTTGTAGAAAATTTCTGCTGTCAAAAACAAAATGGTTATTTTCTAATACTATTTTTAATCCTTCTAGGATAAAGTCTTTGGAAAATCTTTCATTTATTTCACTGCGGTATTTATCGATCCAAAAAGCGATTGCTTCCAGTCCAAGTGTATGTGGTATGTTAGTATAGAGGCTCGTTACATCAAAACTAACCATCTCTGTATTTATTTCAACTGTATCTGGGATGTGGCCAAGAAAATCCATATCATCCCTTACATAACTTGGTACAAGTTGGCATAGAGGCTTTAGAAGTATATCCAACAAGTTACTAATCCTGTGCGTGGGGCATGCAGGGCCAGCTACAATTGGTCTAAGCTTTAAATCTGTTGGTCGAGGTAATTTTATATATAAAGCGTTTTTACCTTCGAGTCCGTCCTGTATTTCTTTGGATTTGTGGATCTTTGGTAAACCATAAAAGTTACTAGATTTATTTTCGAAATTTGTTAAATAATCCACTTCTTTCACGGTTAAATTATCCGCAAATTTAGAAGTTAATTTCTTAATCTTGCATATGGTTTTACTGTCCTCATTAGAAACTAATTCTTTGTAAAAGTTGGTGTCCATAAGTTGGTCTAAAACCATTTCTCTGTAATGATCCATATCCATAATGACAATTGCTCCCCCTTTATCTGCTTCCTTTATAACAATAGAATTATCACTTGCGAGGCTTTTGATAGCTTCTCGTTCCAGTCTATTGATATTATCTTTAATACGGGTATTCATACAGAAGTCATTATTTCTTGCGGAACTTTGTAAACATTTAATAAATTCATCTAAATGTTTATCTCTATTAGGTGGTGGTTTGAAGTTACTTTTATTTCTTACAAGAGATTCGTCTATATTTTCTTCATTTTGAAAATATTCTCTAAGTCTAAGTTTTCGACAAAACTCCTCGGTATCTTTTATGAGATCCACATTATCCTGTTTTGGCGTGGGTGTGAATTTTAAACCCTTTTCTAGAATAACAACCAAGTTGTATTGTTTTTATAAACTTTGTTACACTCTGAAGAGCCTCACGGCGAAAGCGCTTAGTGTAATAATTAAATGTGAACTTGTTTGTTTATCTTGGATTTTATTTTAATTTATATATATATATATATATATATATATATATATATATATATATATATATATATATATATATATATATATATATATAACTCTCTTTTCCATTTCAATAGAGATCCGTGTTTCCCCCGTGGGGAGGGTTGCAAAGTCATTTTTTCGTCATTTTTACATACAAATTAATAACTCTCAATTCCTCCCAATCCCCCTCTAGATCCGAGCATGTCAGGGCCACAGCATACCGGTATTGCAGGCGGGAGGATTTAAACAAAAATTGCCTAATCCCCCCCCCCCCCGCTTTTGAAATTGGCACAAATTAAAACCATTCAAGACTCCGATTTATCAATATAATTTTTGGTCATACATGTAGGTCAAGCGGATAGGGAGAAAAGTTTTTGGCCTTTAAATACAAATATTGAGGCCCAACCCTTGCGTTAATCGTAATTTGCGAGCCCTTACTGGTTTATAGCAACTTTTTATATTTAATAGAGAATATTACATATTAAAATCCATATCATTATGTCCTATCAGCCCGAGTGGCCCCATATCAGCTCGAGGGCCGAAGGCGTAAGGGCTAATATGGAGCCCAAGGGCTGATATGACATATGATATGGATTTTAGTATGTAATATTGTTTTTATTATAATATATAAAATATTTACGAGTATTATGCGAGTCCACTCAAAGTTATTTACGAATTTAATGATTCGTGCTTTTTCAGTTTTTTTTCCTTTAAAAACTTATCGAACCAATTTTAGGTCATTTTAAAACTAATCAAATTTAAGTCAACAAATTTTAGTACATGAATTGTATAGCATATATATTTCAATTAAATTACAACCGAACCGATACGTGATATGGGTTTTCGGGCCGGTCTTTGATAGAGGTTTTGTGTCGTCACTCGTATCCCACAGTGCGGAATCGGTGTAAATGATAAAGTACGTATCTTAACACTTAGTAGCATTTTCAATGACTTTTATATATTAATGGCGTTTTTTTCTTCCCAATCTCCCGTATTCATGTTTAACCTTTTTTCTATACATCCAGTGAAGAAAGGGCTTGGGCGGGCGTTATGTTGAAATTGATAAAGAAATTAAACGAAGACGTCATATATTTCGAATACATGTATATCTTAAAATGATAACATGGACTCAAGTCGATTTGATAGGGACGGGGAGGAGACGTCCACGATGTAAACAATTTACCTATTAATTCATAAAAGTATTGAAAAAATACAATAAAATCAATATCTAAGGAGCAAATCTACCAATTTTAGCGGCGAGGGTTTACATTGACTCTTCGATTCACCGTCTCTAGCATTACCTCTACTTCTATAGAAACTCATTTAAAATATAAAAAACATAAATTCCGATTATTGTTAAAGATTTATTACCAAGAATACATATTCTCTATCTGAAACACGGAAAAAACGTATGGTAAAAGTATTAATATAAATAAAACAAAAATAAAAGATTAATAAAATTAACACAAAATAAAAAATGGCAAAAAAGTTATTTAGGACAAAACAAAACAAAAAATGCAACAAAAGATGTAACAGAAGGAAAAACAACAACAAAAAGCCCTGGAAAAAAGTCTCAAAGTGCAAACAAAAAAAATAAAATAAATAACGATAAAAAATAAAAAGAAGATGGTAAGTAATTGACCTTCATTAAGTACAAAGAACGCACCACAAAATAATACAACTTTGATAAAAATCAGTTCATATAAAAGTTTCGATGCAATCAGAAATTTTTGCTGCGGGCAAGTATCAAATAAATGTGTATAGCCGTCATCCGTGTATAAATGCTTAGTCTGTATGCAGTATCACTTTTGGCATTTGTGACAGTCTACACGCTTGTAGCATACTCCTCGACGATGAGTTGAACAGAAACAAATGGCGTTGCTATAGAAATATCAAGGAAGTTAAAAAAGAACTGACCATATTACTAGTAGAAATGCTAACTTTCCCCCACCTGTGTTATAACAAAAGTTTGCCTTTTCTATCCCATTTGTAAACAAAAATTGCATCTGTTATTGCTCAATATAAACATCTGTATATAAATGTAAACTGTCGGAATTAATAAATTAATCTGCGTATAAAACTTGGTTTTGAATAATTGTCGATCTATCACGCAAATATAACGGTTAACTTTGCGTGTCTCTAAGCACTTTGTTATTTAACAGAAAAGGTAAATTTTGTCCAAGTAATTTGGCATCAATTGACACCTAGCACCTTTCAAACTAGAAAATCGATACCGGCAGGTGCGTGGCAGAGTGTGGGAATTTGGCGGGGTTTTTCTGTCGGAATGTCACGAGGTTTTGTGATGTAAATTACACACTTGAAAATGTCAATACATGTCGCAGCATCGAAGTTCATTGCAGTGTTAAATCTCGCTCCTTTCGTACAATTCCAGCAGTGTCGGTTTAAATTGCTTGGTTGCATAATACTTGGCGAGGACAAGTGAGGACAAGGATGAAATTATTTGTAAAGTTGGTCGGCAAAGTGGTCGAGGGTCCAAGCAGGCGGCAGCCAAGTCTTTAAGTTGCATAGAATAATAGCCGAATTCTCCGATGCAACATTTATTTTCTTGGGTAGTTTGAGCAATTTGAGACGTCATTTCATGGAGGATTAGACCTAATCCCCACACTGTACTCTCTGGCCCGACGTATCCCCAGCTCAAAACCTCAGGGGGTACATAGGTAATGGAAGAAGGAGTTTGAAATTGAAAGTTTGACCCACTTTTCACCGGCAAATAGAGCAGCATGTTTTCTATTAAAATCCTGCCACGTTCGCCGATAACAATGTGGCGAGGTTGACACAGTTCCCACGGGTATACCCCATGGTTCCCCAAGTATATCAGAACGTCTGATAGCTGCAAAATGGTCTCCCAAATCAAAACCTCTGGAATGTGTCGTCCTTGAAGACGTACTTTGAAAAGAAGTTCTTCCAAATTTATGACTGAAAAATCGAAAATATGGAATATCCGATTGCTCTCGATCGCGCACATTTTCAGGTGACAGGTCATTAAATTTTTATGCCTGAAGGTGGCCCACATTTCCCGCGTTTTTGCATTGGTCATTTGTTTTGACCCGGATCCATTGCATAATGAACATATTTCATCCTCTTTTTCTGATTTCATCAATATATTTGTCCCTGAGAAAGTACACTTCCCTGGATAAATCTGATGAACTTTGTGATGCACATGATTTGGAAAATTGAAATTGTATTCAACAAACAAATCATCCAGAGTAAAGTCCGTTGGAATGTGAAACGTGCATAGAAATTCTTTGATCACATTTGGCAAAGGAAGAGTTGACACTTTATGAATATTGTCTATACCAATCCGTTGTAAAATCTTGTGTCTACAAGCATTCTGCAACGATGTCACACCAGTTTTAGTTGTTACGCCGAGCGCGTGTGCCCTTCTATCTGCTTTCATTGTCGTTACTAAAGTGATACCGATAAGTGAACTGACTGCTAAAATTAGCGACGTTTAGCGCCATTTTCGCACCAGCCAATTGCCGATAAGCAAAAGGGATTCCTTGCATGACGCATATAATGTAGGGGTTTTCCAATTTTTCCCATGGTTCCACATAATAATATTGAAAAATTATTATGAATGTAAACTATGGCTGCTAAGCATGAACAGAAAGGGAAATGGTCGGTTATTTGGCCGAAAAAGAGGTGAAAACAAGAACAAAGGACCTCAACGACAAAGAGTGCCGTTCTACAGACGAAACATCGGCATAGCAGCTAGCCCGTTGCTGTTTATTTTCGGTTTGATTCGGCAACTTGCCTTTCAACTCTGGTTGGTACTTACATTGGTTGTATGCAAGTCTCGAGATTTGACGCGAGGGCAGTGCTATCGCCGTTTGAGAGCTGACGTCTCGGTGGACGCCGAAGCAGCTATGACGTCACCATCCAGAGCCAAGTCGCCCTCCCCTGCAGGACCTTCTCTGAGTCAGCAAAAACATTATCATAGAAAAGCGTTTGAATACATCTCAAAGGCGCTAAAAATAGATGAAGAAGATGCAGGTTATCCATCATTTAGTTTCAGTACCTCAAATTATAAAACGGCGGAAAAATAATAATCATAAGTCTCCCTGCACTGAATACAGAAACCATTGCTTTTAGATCTTATCTCTTGCATGATAACATGTATCATATAACACAAGCTTATTTAATCTAATTACCATTACAAATGGTTTGATAGATAGACTGTTACATTTATTTTGTTTGGTCTTTGATGTCATAATTGGTTTATCTTAGGCACCATGTATTGCTTGTGTAAGAAATATTCCATGTTAACAGTATTAAGTTTTCTTCATGTCTGGGTAACTTTTGTTTGTTTTATAGGGAGGAAGGATCAAGCAATTGAGATGTACAAGAAAGGCATTGATGCTCTCCAGAAAGGCATCGCTATAGAGGTTGCTAATGGCCAGGGTAATGATTTAACTTCTTTATCAATGACATCAAACCATTCTAGTGAACCAGGGCAACAATTCATACCTTCTCCAACTCCTCCGTTTCTTTAGTACTCTTTTTTTCACGATCCCACCTCTATGTATCTAAGCACTCATAAATTTATCATTGCACTTATTTTTCGTGCCCTGCCATGGATAGCATATAGTGTTTGTCATGTCTGTCTTCTGTCCTTATGTCCTTAAGTCTGTCCTTTCTTCACACTTTCTGTTTAGCTCAATTTCAAAGAAACTATTCAAGATATTTTTATCAAACTTCAAATGCTGAATTGCTGATACATATTGATGACAGCTATTCAGTATCATCAACACTTTTTGACCTTGACCTTTTTGAAAATTTGTGTTTAGCTCAGTTTCAAAGAAACTATTCAAGATGATTTTATCAAACTTCAGGTGCTGATACATGTTATATAGTGAAAACTATTTAACTTCATCAACTTTTTTTTGAGCTTGATTTTCCCTTTGACCTTGAACTCACTTTTCTTAAAGTTGTGTTTAGCTAAGTTTCAAAGAAACTATTCAAGATGTTTTTATCAAACTTGATTCATGTTGGTGAAATCTAATCAACTTCATCCACTTTTTGGACTTTGTCCTTTCCTTTGACTTTGACCTCACTTTTCTTAAATTAGTGTTTAGCTAATTTTCAAAGAAACTCTTCAAAATATTTTTATCAAACTTCATATGCTGATACATGTTGGTGAGAACTATTCAACTTCATCAACATTTTTTTTTACCTTGACCTTTCCCTGCAGCTTGACCTTACTTTTCTTAAATTTGTGTTTTCCTCAGTTTCAAAGAAACTATGGAAGATGTTTTAATCAAGCTTCATATGCTTATACATATTGATGAAAGCTATTCAATTTCATCAACATTTTAAACATTGACCTTTCATTTGACTTCATTTTTCTCAATTTTGTGTTTAGCTCAGTTTTAAAGAAACAAATCAAGATATTTTTATCTGATACATTTTGGTGAGTGCTATTGACCTATATCAACATTTATTTGACATAGGCCTTCCTCTTGACCTTGACCTCTTTTTCCTTAAATTTGCATGTAGCTTATCTTCAAAGAAACTATTCAAGATATTTTATGCACTGATACATTAATTGGTGAGAATTTATCAACTATGTTCAATTTTTTTTTACCTTGACCTTCACAATGATAATTTATTGTGTCTAAAACTCAGTTTTGAAGAAACTATTCAAAATATTTTCATCAAACTTCATGCGATCTATGTGAGCAGATCAAAGAATCTGATTTTAATCAGATTGACAGTAATACAAATTTTCATGTTCCATCACTAATGAACCCTAAGTGGGGCATTCTTGTCCTATGAACATATTTCTAGTTGTACATCAAATTGTCTTTTTACATTTATACATATTCTTTGTTTTAAAAGTAGACAATTCAGTCTCACTGACAATGTTAATTTGTTAGTTAAAATAAATGCTCAAATCAAAATTAAACTTTCTGAAACTCTGGAATCCCCCCCCCCCAAAAAAAATCTTAATCAAGGGAAGCATATTTACTCTTCATATTGCACGGCTTCTCTGTTTTCCTTGATCTTAATTAACTCAGTTATATCATGCCATTGAAAAAGACTGACATGAATGAATTTGATTGATTGAATAAGCCATCATTGGCAGGTGACTCCTGGGACAAGGCGAGGAGACTACAGGAGAAAATGATCACTAATCTAGTCATGGCCAGGGACAGACTCGAGGTGTTAGGTAAGAAATATTTCTGAAGAATATTTAAATTTTAAATCTGTTCTGTTACATTTTCCCTTCATTTTTAGGTTAATTAATCAAAGAGTAGAAGAGCTTATGCATTGCAGAAATTTTAATTTGTCTGTTGTCCATCTGTCTGTCTGTCCAAATCCATCATTTTTTTTTTGTTTGAAATGCTTATTCTCTTACTGTTTTATCTGATTTGAAAACAATTTCAAATACATGTAGGCTTGATTAAAATACACGTATCTGTTAAATTTTATCATACCTGTATTTTTTGAAGAAAGTTTGAATGTACTGTAACCTCTGTCTTTCTCACTTGTCATTGGAATTCCTCACTGTTTCTTGCACTGGGACTCTCTACATTTTGCTTTTGAAGAATTTCATTCTGTGTAGAAATAGTTGAGCTAAGTTTGCAGATTTCAGATGAAATGTGTTTTGGACAGCTGTACCAATAATTTTAAGAATTTATTGATCAATCTTCAAATCTGGATGAGTGGATTTAAGACAAGATTTTTTTAGTAGACTTTATCATGGGAAAGTGAGCATAAAAGACATCACTGCCAATATCTTATACTAGTAGCTGATTTAGCTAATGTTCAAAACATGCTCTTTGTACTGTATAAATGTAGACTATATTATGATTAATGATTTGGTCAATCAAATGAATTCCAGTGACTGGTGTGTTTTGCTTCAAAGCTTTTTATTTTGCCAATGCTGATAAATAAGTTTAAAATGCATATGTGTTAGATGTTTTATTTAGACTAAGTGTAGAATAGCATGCATTTCTCTTCTTTTTTAAAAGTCTTCTCTTTTTGGTTCAAATTTTGCTCTTATTTTCCTTACTTCTGTTACCTTACTGTGTTGTTTTTGTGTAGAAAAAGCATTACTCCTCTCTGTACAAGAGAATATTGTGTCCAATACTCCTGAAAGATTAGACCCCAACGCAAATATCCGTGAGCGGCGTCCAGTCCCCAGGGACACTGATGCCCAAAGTGATAGAGCAAAACCATCCTCCACATCCGGGGAGGTAACCAAGAGAAAGGTCTCTGACCGCAGGGAAGAGGCAGCAGGTACCTACTCACCAAAAATTACCCATTGACAGGGCCAAAGTTTTTTTTTTTGTATTTGTGTCGAATATTTAGATTGGCGTAATGTTTAGTGTTATTGAATAAAATATTTATACTCTCTCTTTAAAGCTGAACACGATTTATAAAAGGAATTGAGTTATCTTGTCCACCATATTAGTTTTCCTCAAGGCTGTCATTTTCCAACTGCTATATAAGCCTCAGCTTTGTTCACGGTTCAATGTATTTTGCTTCACGAATTCTACCTGAGCACACGTCTCCTTCATTATCATTGTGATATACTTGGGCACAACAAAAATGACTTCTGTATGCCTCTGCCATGTCAGGAAAAAGTTTTCAAAAGATATTCGATATCACTGTACAGGTCAGTGCATTACAGAGTGAAATAAACAGAAATATACCTTCAAAGAAATAAAACGTAAACAAAAAGGACAACTACATACCGCAGTGACCATGCAGCTAAAAGCAATCAGATGTAATGAATGCAAATGGTGTATATACCCCAGTGCTGATATAGGAGATGGGGAAACTAATATGGTGTATGCCTATTTATGAGTCATGTTCAGCTTTAATGTAGTGCTAACAATCCATGCACCTGTATTTGTATATTTAGTAAAACTATTTTTAAATACCACATTTGTTATCAATTTTCACAAATGTGCAAATAATGTAAATTCATTTTTTGTCAGGGTTCATGGAAAATAAGAAACAAAACATTATAAAAAATTTAATGCACCCTATAGTCTGATCACAGACAAAGTGATATTTTACATGTTATATTTGTTGCATCACTATGAGCTCTCATAACTTAAATATAGATATTATGAAAAGTACAATTTTTTTTTCTTTTGATGAAATCGTTAAGCAAAAGATTAAAACTTTTGGTTATACATGTACACATATAAAAATTATTTCTATGTAAGAATTTTACACAAACTTGCACTATGCTTGAAAATTAAAAAATAACGTTTTATTTTTCAGTGAACAGCAAATTTAACAAGCCAATAAGACAGAAACCTATGGCCATTCACAAAAGCAATTCCATTCCCAGAACAAACCCAGGAGGACAAAACAAAATAAACAGTCCGGCAGCAGCCAGAGAGTATTATAAACAGACACCACGACTCAATGTAAGTAATAGTCACAGCCAGAGAGTATTATAATAGACACCATGACTCAATGTAAGTAATAGTCACAGCCAGAGAGTATTATACACAGACACCACGACTCAATGTAAGTAATAGTCACAGCCAGAGAGTATTATTAACAGAAACCATGACTCAATGTAAGTAATAGTCACAGCCAGAGAGTATTATTAACAGACACCACGACTCAATGTAAGTAATAGTCACGGCCAGAGAGTATTATAAAGAGACCCCACAACTCAATGTAAGTAATAGTCACAGCCAGAGAGTGTTATAAACAGACACCATGACTCAATGTAAGTAATACATTGGCTCCCGTTTTATCCAGTAGTCAAGTTGTCAGTGTAATTTTATCAGAATAGCCGATTATTAGAATAGCCTATTGCTCCATACCGAGTCCAAAGATAGATGTATAGAGCTACATGAATTGATAATACATCGTAGCAAATTTCAAACCACGGCTCAATGAAAGTAATAGTCACAGCCAGAGAGTGTTATAAACAGACACCACGACTCAATGTAAGTAATAGTCACAGCCAGAGAGTGTTATAAACAGACACCACGACTCAATGTAAGTAATAGTCAGGGTCAGAGAGTATTATAAACAGACACCACTGCTCAATGTAAGTAATAGTCACAGCCAGAGAGTGTTATAAACAGACACCATGACTCAATGTAAGTAATAGTCAGGGTCAGAGAGTATTATAAACAGACACCACAACTCAATGTAAGTAATAGTCACAGCCAGAGAGTGTTATAAACAGACACCATGACTCAATGTAAGTAATAGTCAGGGTCAGAGAGTTTTATAAACAGACACCACGGCTCAATGTAAGTAATAGTCAGGGCCAGAGAGTATTATAAACAGACACCACAACTCAATGTAAGTAATAGTCACAGCCAGAGAGTTTTATAAACAGACACCATGACTCAATGTAAGTAATAGTCAGGGCCAGAGAGTATTATAAACAGACACCACAACTCAGTGTAAGTAATACTCACAGCCAGAGAGTGTTATAAACAGACACCATGACTCAATTTAATTTCAAGGCCAGAGAGTATTATTAACAGACACCCCAACTCAATGTAAGTTAGAGTCAAGGCCAGAGAGTATTATAAGTCAAGGCCAGAGAGTATTATAAACAGACACCATGACTCAATGTAAGTAACAGTCACAGCCAGAGAGTATTATACACAGACACCACGACTCAATGTAAGTAATAGTCACGGCCAGAGAGTATTATTAACAGACACCACAATTCAATGTAAGTTAGATTCAAGGCCAGAGAGTATTATAAACAGACAGATTATCATTTTCTTATTTTTATGATTTCATCTGAACTCAAATACACAAGACAGCTTATGATAATTATTCCTTTTTGTTCTTCTTGAACCAATCTTTCTCTGACCCAGTCTTGTTCACACTTGACACAGTCTGGTTCACACTTGAACCAGTCTTTCTCACACTTGACCCAGTCTTGTTCACACTTGACACAGTCTGGTTCACACTTGACCCAGTCTTGCTCACACTTGGCCCAGTCTTGTTCACACTTGACCTCACCTTGCTCACATTTCACTTATAGACAACATCTCTGGGTAACTTGAGCAAAATTCCAACTCAAATGTAAATGTCACAAGGTTTTTTGCTCTTGGCACTGTCTTTTTCTTCTTTTTTTGTTTTTAAATGAATACTGACCATTTATGTGTTAAGTAGTGAACTCTGAACTTATACGTTGTTTTCATGTTCTTCAGGCACCAGGAAATAAGAAAAGACCAGATTTGTCCAAGATTAAATTAAAGAATGTTGACAAAAACATAGCAGAGACAATTCTGAATGAGATTTTGGATACAGGACCTACTGTCACATTTAAAGATATTTGTAAGTAAGATGACAAGTGTCAAGGAATATTGTGTAACATGCCATAGAAAACCAAGAATGTATGACATAAAGGTGTAATTAAGAAAGCTGCCAAACAAAGGGTTGGTGGTGTAATTATAGCAAGATCATGTGACATTACAAGTTGTATCCTTATATAAGGCAGTGCATCTACAGAGTCTCTTTCCCACTAACTTCAGCTGAGGTTCCTCCTTTCTAGAACCTGTCTGATCAAGGAGGTGAATACACCTTGTAGAATGGAAATAGACAGTAGTCTAATTAGAAGAAAAAAGTTTTAGTTTTAGTCATGTTCAATTTTACAGCACAAGAACCTTGGTGTTAAAATGAAGTTCTACTTCAAAGCAATTTCAGAACAAAGGAATTATCTCTATTTCTGATTTTCATACTAAGTATTTACAATGGATGAATTTCTTTGACAGCTGGACAAGAGGCATCCAAAGAAGCCTTACAAGAGATAGTCATCCTACCGGCCTTAAGACCAGAGGTAACACTACATACCGGTACATTTTTATAGTAGATTGCTAGAGCACAGAATTTGTCCAGCAGTGAAAGAGAGATATCAAAAATGATTAAAATTTAAATTTGTTGACATTTTAACGTGTACTTTTTTTGTACCTCTTAACATTTTTATTACAGTTATTTACAGGACTTAGAGCTCCTGCTCGTGGCCTCCTGTTGTTTGGTCCACCAGGAAATGGTAAAACTATGCTGGTAGGTTGATGTCTTTTTGTAAATGTATTTCCCTCAAAGAATTACATATATACTTGGTAAGGTTTTGGGAAAAGAATTGTTTAAAAAAGATGCTTAAAATTAGTAAAGTAATTTCTGATATGATGGTTGGTATTATGTTGTGTTTAAAGTCATTTTGGCTTCTTTTTTCAGGCAAAGGCTGTTGCCAATGAATCCAATGCAACATTTTTCAATATTAGTGCCTCAAGCCTTACTTCAAAATGGGTAGGTATTGAGTTCACACAAAATGACTAGGACAGTAGGACTGCTTCTGTAGACTTTAATATCTCATCATGATCCAGTGGTTAACAATGATAGGATTTTTTCCATTTCCCTTGTCTTTATGATATCTGTAACCTACAAATCATTTAATTCAACAAATAATGAATGTTCATGACTTCTTTGTTTTAATTTTTGTAGGTTGGTGAAGGAGAAAAACTTGTCAGAGCAATGTTTGTAATTGCAAAAGAGCTTCAGCCTTCAGTTGTGTTCATGGGTAAGTGATCTCTAAAGCATGATATACATGTATATACAGTCAAGCCCCCCAAAAAAAGAGAGAGATATATGAGGATTCAGGATACATAGGTTAAAATACATAAAGAAAAGGTATTTGGGACTTCCACTTCATTTGACAAATCTTGGTATTCAAAATACATGTCTCCAAGTTTAAGATTCTGAAGTTCAGTTGTACTTTTGATCTGCTAAAAATTGTTATCTAGAAAATTCAGATTCTGTCTGAATTATATAATTCATCTTGCAATTATTTCTTTGACATTTTAGATGAGATTGATTCATTGTTGTGTGAAAGAAGAGAAGGTGAAAATGATGCTAGTCGCAGATTAAAGACAGAATTCCTTGTGCAGTTTGATGGGGTAAGAATTCAAAATCACTGAGAAAACTCATGGTGCATGATTAAGAGACTAGATGAAATAGCTGATTTTGTTCACTTATTTCCCAGGTGTCAGGGAGTGCTGATGACAAAGTACTTATTATGGGCGCAACTAATAGACCTCAAGAACTGGATAATGCTGTTTTAAGGTAAAGCTCTCGTGTAATTAAAAAACTATATTTAATAAATGTTAAGCATTTCTATATTCATAAAGCCTTTATAATAAATACTGTGGAAACATTAGATTTCAAGGTGACTCAATATTCATGGCATGTGTGGGTACCCCTTATCCACAAATTAACATCCTTCATGAACTAATAAACTAGGGTTTCAGGGTCATCTTTCCTTTTGTAGATCTGAGTGAATACACAAAATAACGTCCTCACGAACTTGTAAAATTTGAGCAATTCATAAAAATTGACACTCACGAATTCTAATGATTCCACAGTAAAAGCTACATGCTTTGCACAAATATTCATGTTTCCCATTTTATCTTAACAGGAGATTTGCTAAAAGAGTTTATGTAAAGATGCCTGAAAAAGAAACCAGAAAAGATATGTTGAGTCATCTTCTGTCCAAACATGGCAACCCCCTTTCTAGTCAGGAATTGGATAATATTGCACAGTCAGTTTTATCTCTCGCATATTAATCTTAAATAAAGAGTCAATTTTATTTATCTAGATATGTGTATTACAGTTTTCTAACAGGATTGATTTTCTTCAGATTGACAGAAGGCTATTCAGGCAGTGATCTTAATGCTTTGGCAAAAGATGCGGCACTTGGTCCAATAAGAGGTAAAATGACTATTGATTTGTGTAATCAAAAGAAACCATACACACTTTTCTGATGCTTGACATACCTTTGTAATGGAAGTAAAATTGTGCATGGTTTTTTCTTCTTCTTCAAGATTTATCAGCAAAAGAAGTGAAGACTGTGGATGCAAATCAAGTAAGTCTAAAGAAAAGATTCAGAGGAAATTGAATTCATTGTAGTTTGAAATTTTTGTTGCCTAATTCTGTTTTCTAAACGTATACATTAATGACAGAATTTAATTGAGGCAAGTGTTTTTTTTTTTGTTTTTTTTTCTCGATAAATAATATTTATATCTATGATACATTTATATAGCATTTAAATATTTGTTAGTAACTAAGGTAGATGTATTTTGAATGTCTGCACACAGGTACGACATATTACAGAAAATGACTTTTTTGAGGCCCTCAAAAGAATTCGAAGAAGTGTTGCACAGGAAAGTTTACAACAGTATGAGACCTGGAATTTTGAATATGGAGCCGTTGGTGTATAAAGCATGTATAAATTTAATTTAAAATTTACATTCCAGACATCAGAAACCTTTTTCTACATTTTCATTTGTATCATTGAAGTTGTAACTCAATAGGTACTAGCTAATAATTCAAGATTTTTTTAACAAGCCAATAATTTCCTATGCATATACATGTTATGCACTATGAAGTGCTTTAATATATGTACATCATGTTTATGACATCCTGTTTGTTAATTTTAATATTTGTAAAATACAGTTTGTCTTATAAGGGCATTAACCTTAATGGTGAAAGAATTGATTCAGACACTCAGTTGATAAGTGTACAAAGTACCAATAATTGGCTTCAGTGGCCCTTTTCACAAAAATCTTAAGATTTTGCATAAAAATGTCTTATACAGTAAATAAAAATCCTAAATGCTTTTCATGAATGCATTCATAATAGGTTGAACTTTTGAATTTTGTTTATGATAAACTTTTTTCTGTCAGAGATCACAATATGCTCTATAATCCTTTAAAAAAAGTGGGTGAGAGTGAAAATGAATCGAAAGTTTACAAATCTGGTAACAAAACAGATCATGGATCACAGGTATGGAATGCAGTCAGTGGAATCATCAAACGTGTAGGAAATCTGATGTCACAATTACAAAAATAGGGCATAAGGACAATTTAAGAGAAAATGTCAGTTTAAGAATTTTCCAGAATAATTTCATTTAATGTGAAATAATATATAAAATACCGTTAAAGTGTGCATAAAAAATTTCAATTACATGTACAGGTAAAGCAGGTATTTTGGTTTTTTTATCCATATATATGTATTTTACATCATATACAGCTCTAAAATAGATGTAGTTATGAGAGAGTTAGAGCTCTTGCAAAGTCACAACAAATTTTTACACATAAGAATCTCCCTAAGATTAAAGAATTTTATTTTTTTTAAAAAAAACCCAAATCTGATGTTGTCTCTTACAATGAGAATTAATCATAAGATTTTTGTGAAAAGAAGGCTACTTGTGGAAATGTTATTTTCTCATTTTTTAAAGTTCTGAATGTAACAGTGTACAATATGGAAGTAGAATACTTCCGAACATCTAGTTCTTTGATGTTGTCAATTTATCTCCATATGTAAAATCTTTGTAAAGAACTGCATGTATAAAAGTGATGCTTTGTAAAATGCATGACTGCTGATTATGGTAATTCTTTGAAAATTGTTTCATAGTCAAGAAAGTTTACTTGTTTCAGTTTGTTATGGTTTTGAAGCATTTACATATAGAATAAATTGTTATATGTTCTTCAAGATTTTTTTCTCATTTTGTTTTAGTAGCTTTATACATTGCATGTATTATCATTTCATTATTTAAAATGATGGCCACACTAAAACAATGTTATCTGTGATGAAGAGAGGAAACCAATTTCCCTCATAAATACTCACCAGTAAAATGATATCGTTATTATATCATTACAATAGATATTAACATACATTTTATGGTCTTGCTGATTTTGTTTTCAATTCAGTTTGAAGTTTAGAAAAGCAATAAAGTGATGCCTGTAAGGATTATCCCCCCCCCCCCCCCCCATTGAAAAAAAAAATGTATACCTGACTTACAGGTGTGGAATACAGTTGTACTGAAATAGCCACAGAGATAAAATAGAGGTACTACGAGCTAGCTCACAAAATTATATTCCCCGCTGCAATTTTAAAAAAGTGCCCACATAATTTTCTAAAAGTAACCTTTAACTTAAAATTACAATCTGGTCATAAGTAATCTTTACTTGAAGTATGGCCTAATGCTTCTCCATTGGAAAGTTGTGGACTGAACACAAATTTTACACTTTTTAACCTGTGTCAAGTATCAGCTTCCAATTTTTCTCCATTAGAGAGTCATGGTCCAAAAAATAAATGATACACTTGTTCTGCTAATGACCTTTAATTTACCCAATGAAGTTGGTCAAAGCCATGAAACACCCTCAGGCCATGAACAATGTCTATTTTATATATTGATTTTCAGTGTCTCTCCATTACAAGATATGGTCAGAGAGTTACAGGAAATTACACATTTTTCAACCTGAACCTGACGAAATAACCTTTTTTAAAGTCATGACATAAGCATTCTTTGTATGAGATGTGAATCCAATATTCCTACTTTAGAAAGTTATGGTTGGACACAAATTTTTAACTTTTTCTGCCAGTAACTTTGAACATGCTAAAATGACCTTGAGTCAAGATCATGACACCTTCAGGTCATAAGCACTCTTTGTGTCAAGAATGAGCTTTTGATGTTTCTCCATACAGAGTTGGGGTCTGAACACGATTGCACAGACAGATAGACAGACAAGGTGATTCCTATATATCCCCCCTACTTTGTTTGAGGGGGTATAATTTTTTTTAGAGTTGTATTATTTAAATTGGTTAACATGGATGCAAGTCACAGGCACTTGTTTCTGTAATAATTTTTTTTACACATAGTATAATTGCACTTGTGTCTGTAATAAATATTTTAACCCACAGTATAATTATATTGTGGGTTAAAAAATTATTACAGAAACAGGTGCCTGTGATGCAAGTACATGTATTTCAAAAGTAGTGTTAAACATTGAATATTCATGTTGTTCTTTTCTTGGCAAAATCAAGGTGATTTGGGTGAGTAATGTGGCTCATAGGTCTTTTGTTTAAAACAGTGTAGTCTAGTGGCCTTGATATGTCTGCAGTCATGATTATTTTATGAAAGGCAGCATTCTTATTTGTGTCTTGGTAGTTTAGATTTTTTATTGGCCTATTAATTGATCATTTTTCCTTACATGGTAAAACTTTGTTACAGGAAAGTCATGAGGACTTGTGAATTTACTTTGCTTTATCCATAATATATATTCAAAATACATATAGGAATTTGTTAAAGTGCACATGTATATTGCAGTACATGTATATGTTTTCCTTCTTATGACTACCAAATATGTTCATGAAAATGTAAAAAACAAGGCTTATATTTGGGAACTAAAGTTTTCAGCTGAATTAAATTTCAAATATAAATACATGTGTACTTATGAAAAATAATGTGAGTTCAATATTTTAATTTTTGTGGTCTTCATCATAAAAGATGCAAGTCTCATTATTTTTAACCTATATGGGGACACAAAATCAATTCAGTTTATCCATAAATTAGCTATATATCAGAGTTTGCTATAGCCATAAAATTTTACAAGGAATTGTTAAGAATTTTGCCAGGAACCACCAAAAATTACCCTATAGCTGTAAATTTGCTATATTTGTGTCCATACTAAATACTTTTAATTACTGTATTGGCATCCATATCATTATTTGATGAATTGGTCACACTAATAACTTACTTAAATTACATCAAAATATTTTTACTAACACTGTCTACCCAGATATCTATGAATTTACTTATATTTGGTGCCATTTCATTTGATTGTGCATGTTTAAATGCAACCTGGCACATGTACATGAATCTATTAAAACATACAACATAGTGAAAATATGTACCGGTATGCATAGTGCACTGAACATAATCTCACTTTATATTTAAAAAATGTATATGCTACATGTAGCAGAATTAATCATCATTTCCTATACTCTGGCATACTGTACTTTTTTCTGCATGGGATTAATTTTTTCTGTGTATGCGGACACAGATTTTCTGTGGAAAACTTATAATAGCATACTTATAAATTGCATTTAAGAAATGCAATAGCAAATTAAGAAAACCGCATAATTTACAGTCCACACATGGAACAGAAATTTGATTCCTCTGAATACTTTGTGGAAAAAAGTAGGTTTACAATATTTCTTACCCATTAATTCACATACACTAAGTCTACTTTGGTATCTCGAACACTGATATCTCGAATATAATACCATTGATAAGTCAACTGATTTGGAAGTCCCAACTACTTATTCTTTAAGTATTTTACCCTCAATATCTCAAATCATCAGATATCTTGAAGTTTTTGCTTGGTCCTGTTCGAGATAACGAGGTTTGACTCTAGTTACTGTATTAAATATATGTCAACCTTTTGTATTATACAATAAGTATTACATGTACATGTATTATAATTGTGATTTAATAAATAATACATTAACAACTTTGAATTTTAAGTTTTATTAGCTCTTCTGAGCCAAAGGCTCAAAGAGCAAATGCTATGGCCATTTTGTGCGGTGTGCGTAAACTTTTTAGAATATGGGCCATAACTCCAGAACCCCTTGGCCAATTATTGTCAAATTTGTCACAGGGTATCCTTGGCCCAAGGGCTCCCTTTTATACTAAAACTAGGGTTGTGACCCTTAAACAAGGGGAGATAATTAGGAAAATAGAAACAAAAGTACTGGTTACTAAAAAATCTTCTCAAGAACCACTGGGCAGATTATCACCAAACTTACACAAAAGGATAAGGATATGTTGTAGATTAAAATTTGCATGGGGATTTACCCTGGGGCAAAGGGCGTGGTCTCAAGATCACTTCAAAGTTGACCAAAAATTACATTTTATTAAAATGTTGATATTTTGCTTACTATCAGGACTAGGATCATCAAATCTTGTCAATTGATGCATCTAAGGACCTCATATCATGTTAACTCAAAAGTAGGTCATGGTGACCTACTTTTTAAATTTTGCGGCTATTCTTAGAGGCATATTTCGAACAATTTAAGGCCTATGATCATCAAACTTTGTCAGTTGATGTATCTTGGGTCATCGAAGTACGTCAACTAAAAAGTAAGTCACCTCAACCTACTTTTTGAACTTTATGGCTAATCTTTTTCAAAACAATTAAGGTCATTAATTCAAATACCGAGACGTTTAGAATCATTAAATCTTGTAAGATGATGCATCTTGGGGCCATAAAACATATTTATTAAAAAAGTAGGTCACAGTGACCTACTTTTTGAACTTTGTTGGCATTCCATTTCAAAGCGTTTTAGAGGCATAATTTGGACATTTTAAGGCCTATGATCATAAAACTTTGTAGTTGATGCATCATGGGTCCTCAAAAAAGGTCAACTGAAAAGTAGGTCACCTTGACCTACTTTTCAATTTATATGACTATTATTAAATATTTCAGGTACTAATTGGCTTAGAATCATCAAACTTTGTCAGTTGATGCATCTTGGGTCTTTGGAGTAGGTCGACTGCAAAGTAGGTCACGGTGACCTACTTTTGAAAATTTATGTCTTTAATTAAATCTTTGGAGAAGGTCAACTAAAAAGTAGGTCACTGTGACCTTCTTTTGAAAATTCATGGCTTTAATTAAATATTTCAGGTACTAATTGGCTTAGAATCATCAAACTTTGTCAGTTGATGCATCTTGGGTCTTTGGAGTAGGTGGACTGCAAAGTAGGTCATGGTGACCTACTTTTGAAAATTTATGTCTTTAATTAAATCTTTGGAGAAGGTCAACTAAAAAGTAGGTCACCGTGACCTTCTTTTGAAAATTTATGGCTTTAATTAAATATTTCAGGTACTAATTGGCTTAGAATCATCAAACTTTGTCAGTTGATGCATCTTGGGTCCTTGGAGTACAACAAATGACAAGTAGGTCACTTTGACCTACTTTTAAAATTTTATGGTTATAATTTTGAAAAATATTTTAGGTATTAATTGGCTTAGAGTCATCAAACTTAGTTGATGGGTCCTCAGAGAATGACAAGTGATAAGTAGGTCACCATGACCAACTCTCAGGTACTAATTGGCTTAGAATCATCTTGGGTTCTCAGAGTGTGAATTGGAATTTCAAGGGTTTAACTAAATATACAGGATACTTAGAGGCTTCAAATAGAAGTGATAGGTTGTACAGTTTATCAGAAGAGCGATTCAAGGTCCTTGGGCCTCTTGTTTTTCATTCCAGACACTTGGCTACAAAATTTCTAAGAGACTCCAAAATTATATAATGCAGTCACTGTATGTTAATTATGACCTTCAAATTTGTTTAAACTTCTTTTTCACTGTCAGTATAAAATGTATAGGAATAGGATTTGTAGCAAGCTTTTAGGGCTATTTAGTAAAATTTAAATGAGGTGGGTGGAATGTCAGTATTTTTTTTTCTGTTGATGGGTGGTTGTTCATTTCTCTTTTTCCTAGGGGATGTGTGCAGATGATTTATTTATTTGCTCTTAAGTCCATTCACCTTTGACCTAAACATTGAACAAACATAAAGTGAAACAAATTAAAGACTAATTGCAACATTGAATTTGATTTTGTTTCCTTTTATAAACATGCAAGAATTATCAATCCAGGAATAATTAAGGGCTTTCTTCAAGCAAATTGTATAGAGATTATTTTCTAGCCAAAACCTTTGCAATGGATGAGTTCATTGGCAGTAAAGGACTGAACCCTAAAATTATTTTCATTATTATTATTATTCTTTTTTATGATAAAGACCATGGATCAGCTGCATCATTCATTAGTGCTTAACAGACTCTGTATGGAACCAAAGAAAATTACAGCTGAAAAGACCATGTTATCCTAAAATAAATGTGATTCATGTGTCTGCAGTACATGATCATCTGATACCAACTAACAATTTATTCTCTCATATGACCAAAAAAAATTATAATCTTGGGAAATAATTATTTCACTTGCAAGAAGATTGTAACATTAAACTTGAATTAAAATACTTTCTAATAGAACTTTATCATTCTTTATAGGTGATGGGGAAGGGTAACACAGAATTGAATACTTTTGGGAGTGGGGTTCTTCTTTATTCTAGTGGGTAACAAGGGGGAGAGGTAAAACATACTAGTGACATTCAACCCAACTTGATAAATTATTAGTACTGGAATAGCCCTAAAAATAATTCAAAATTTCATTAAGCAAAGATTTTAATAAAGAATCCAGCACCAACTTGTATGAATTCACACAGAATTCAAAAGTCTGTTTGGATTACAATGTACTTGGTAACTATTCAGCTTTTTCATGTTCCAGCTTAATATCTTTGACAATAATATTAATCTAGTATGATCAGTATGATATAAAAAAAAATCTGACCTTTATTAAACTCACACAGTTTATTAAATAATTAGTACAGGTACTAATATATAGCATTTTTAAACTATCAAGACTTTCATTAAGCAAAAGAAAGAATCTAGCTTTGTATGAATTTATACAGAGTTGAAAAACTGCAACTTTTTAATTGGGTAATGTTCCAGCTTACTTAGTAGTTTTATCTCTCAACAGAAAATGAATGAATGCCAACAGTTTGCAATTTTTGTTATTTGTTTTGAAGTAGGAATGTGCAGTCTGCGGATGTTCTTGATTTTTATTTTATATTAACACATTTGATATTTTATCTACAAAAGTACACATTCATGACTTGAAAAGGCACAGTTAGTCTAATGAAAAAAAAATTCTATATGCCACAAGATTTAGCAAGGAAGTAGCTGCACCGATCATTTGTGGTATGGCTAAAGTCATATTGCAATAAGCAAAAGTTCTCCCTGGGCAAACATGCTAAGATAGTATCTTTCAACCTTTGAAATATATTTTGTTAAATACAAATATATTCTCTGTAAATCTCAAAGTAAATGAATGCTTTGCTTATTATACTATGTTCACCTTAGTCTAGCTGAAGAGAACAAGATTAATGTCCATATATGGCTAACTAGTGGAAAGTTGATTGCATATAAAAAAAAAAATTCAAAATATCTACTCTTGCTTAAGGTCAAGATCTAGTAAATGAGTTTAGACTTTCTTCTTGGTGCTAGATTCATTATGATGTCATAATTGAATTAAACTTAATTTTTCCCGTACTTTACAGCTTCAATAGAATTATGAAGAAAATAAAGCACTTTCATGGATTTCAATTTGAAATCATGTCAAATGTAACCCCGATACTCTTATTCCATTTAATATCATTTTAAAGTAGAGATCAAGAAGATATGAAAACCGTTTTCTGAGAGACTGTAGGCAATATTGATACATTTCCTTTGTCCGAGATGGAGAGAAGTCCCATTTTTATACCAGACTTTCTTCATTTTTCATTGAAAATGGGCAGTTTTTCCGATGAGTTTACCCTAAAATTATGTCCGGATACACCTAATTTTACCAAGCTATATTCGTAAAGGATCATTAAAAGAATGTGTATCTCAAATTTGAGAAATCTATGGGCACCTTTCATTCACTAGATCTTGACCTTAAAAATAAACACAAATTAAAAAAAATAATAAAAAGGCAATATCTATGAATTTATGTATAAATGAACTCTAGAGAGTAATGAATGGAAGAATGCTTAAGCGTAAAATGAGAATGCTCTGGAAAGTGGTTCCACACTGATTTTGTAAATACATGTATAAAAGATTATTGAAACATATAACATGAATATCTAAGACAACAATACACAAAGTATTTTTCATCTAGTCCATATTTCACAGATCAATCATGAATGGAATAAAATTCTTCCTAGCAAAATGACACTAATTTATAAATCCTTTCTATAAACAGATGTTACTGACAATAAAATGCAGGTATATATACATTGCACACATTAAACTATATTAAACAGTTTATCAAGGGATTAATATAGCATACAATTTATGTTACATGCATACTTTGACACCTGTGTTGGATAACAGTATCCAAATCCCTTCTAAAAAATGTGAGCAGAATAATAGAAATTACAAAATACATACACTATCATGTGTATAAGCATTACATTTCAACTGCACTAGTAAGAAATGCATTCCTACAAAATGTTTAAAATAGATTTTGGCAAAATGTTAGGGCACAAAGAAATAGCAAAATATATGAACTTCCACATGTGAATAAGCAAAAAAAAAATGGAATTCAAATTAAGTTAACATTGAATTGAACATCTATTATTTCTTCTAAGGAAACCTCCTTCAATTAAGGTGTTAATGTTTTTCTCAAATGCCATTTGTTCCAAAATGAACTATGATATGTAGGGAAAAATTCAATAAAAGTTTGTTTTTTTTGCATTTTAATTGTCAAATGATTTTTTTATTAATATGTAACATGGTTGCATACCATGTTTGGTGAATCAATAAATGGTATAAAATTGTGTTAAATATTCCCCATGATAAATCTCAGTGTTGCACATACACAGATCACTTCAATTTCAAACTCTGAGTCATCCTGATATAGCTTAGTCTCTGCTTCTTATGCTTCAGACTAGTAAAATACAATCTCTCACTCTCTTGAAGATCGAAGTACTGATGCAATTCCAGTCCATATGCATTCAGTCTTTTGAGTTCACTGAAGCGTTGCCGAATGTTCAAATGGCTGATTTCTTCCCAGAGGGATAAGTCAGAGATCATCTGGTCCACACCCTATTGAGAATATAAAATTTATAGAAATATTATGAAATCAAAGGATTAAATGCACTATTGGACATATTTTACCTCATGATGAATGTGAATTATTTTTTAAGAAAATATTCATTCAGGCTTGGGCTTTTAAAAAATATGTCATTTTAATTGTTATGATATTCCTTTGCCAGCTAGGCCACAATATTGTCACCATACAATGTATTCTCTTGAAAGAAAGCATTTATAAAACATTCAGGTGAAAATAACAGGCAAAAATGTCCCAAGTGAAGAGTATGTGTTTAAATATGCAAGTTAAGTCACATCCTGTCTAACTTTCTTCTCAGTAGATAATAGGAATTTTTATGCCCCCGGATCGAAAGATCCCGGGGGTATATTGTTTTTGTCCTGTCTGTCTGTTTGTCTGTTTATCTGTTTGTCTGTTTGTCTGTTTATCTGTTTGTCTGTTTGTCCGTTTGTCTGTTTGTCTGTCTGTCTGTTGTCAACTTTAACCTTGCCCATAACTTTTGATTGGTTGGAGCTATGACTTTCATATTTCACATGTGTATTCCTTGTGACAAGACCTTTCTTTGGGTACCATCATATTTGACCTTTTGACACTGACCTTGGAGTTTGACCTACTTTTGCAAAATTTTATGAGACTTTAACCTTGGCCATAACTTCTGAACAGTTGGTGCTTGGGGTTTCAAACTTCACATGTGTATTCTTTGTGACAAGGCCTTCCTTTGGATACCAACAACTTTGACCTTTTGACCTTGACCTTGGAGTTTGACCTACTTTTGAAAAACTTTAACCTTGGCCATAACTTTTGAATAGTTGGTGCTTAGGGTTTCAAACTTCACATGTGGTTTCCTTGTGACAAGACCTTCCCCTGGATATCAACCACTTTGACCCTTTGACCTTGACCTAGGAGTTTGACCTACTTTTGAAAAACTTTAACCTTGGCCATAACTTTTGAACAGTTGGTGCTTAGGGTTTCAAACTTCACATGTGTATTCCTTGTGACAAGACCTTCCCCTGAATATCAACCACTTTGACCCTTTGACCTTGACCTAGGAGTTTGACCTACTTTTGAAAAATTTTAACCTTGGCCATAACTTTTGAATGGTTAGAGCTAGGGCTTTCATACTTCACATATGTAATCCTTGCGACAAGACCTTCCTTTGGATATCAACCACCACTTTGACCTTATGACCTTGACCTAGGAGTTTGACCTACTTTTGAAAAACTTTAACCTTGGCCATAACTTTTGAATGGTTGATGCTAGGGCTTTCATACTTCACATATGTAATCCTTGTGACAAGACCTTCCTTTGGGTACCAACCACTTTGACCCTTTGACCTTGACCTAGGAGTTTGACCTACTTTTGAAAAACTTTAAACTTGGCCATAACTTTTAAATGGTTGGTGCTAGGGCTTTCATACTTCACAAATGTAATCCTTGTGACAAGATCTTCCTTTGGACACCAACCACTTTGACCTTGACGTTTGACTTTTATTTAAAAAACTTTAACCTTCGCCATAACTTTTGAACAGTTGTATCTAGGTCTTTCAAATTTCACAGGTGTATTCCTCGAGACAAGACCTTTCTTTGGGTATCAACATTTCTTATCTTTTGGCCTGGATTTTGAGTTGCATTTGAAGAAACTTTAACCTTTGCCATAAGCTGCCATACGGGGGCATCAGTGTTTCACAAACACATCTTGTTTTCCATTGTATTTTATAAAGTAGGTCTTGCACAAAAACAACAGAAAAATAACTGAAACATATTACAAAATCTGTTCAGAATGCATCTAATACAGCAAACATGGGAAGTCCTCTTGAAAATTTGTACATTTTGAAATGTACCAAAACAAAATTACAGTGGAAATACATGTATATACAGTCAAACCTTGTTACCAGTACCTCAATATTGATGGGACATAGAAAAGCTTAGAGATATCTAAGGATTCAAAAGATTGGGTTTAAAAATACATCAAGAAAAAGTTGTCAGGATTTCCAGCTCACTTCAACATATCCATTTCATTTGAGATATCAATATTTGAGAAAATGAGGTTTAACTGTACTTCTCATCTGAACCAATCCTCATTTAATCTTATGAATACAGAATAGTCTACCCCCCTTCCATCAATTTTCTGATAAGGTGTGAGCACATTACTTTGGTACTTAAGAGCATTCAAAATTACTCTGACATTTGGCCACAATTAAAATATTGTTGGTTTGGCGTTGCCAATTTAGTCTTTATACGTTTGGGTCGGTAGGTAGGGAAAATATTTTTTTATTTATTTCAGAAATGGTACATGTTGTTAGTATTCGAACATCATGGGTTTCTGATAGTTTAACAACAACCACAGTCCAAATTGATTCTCAGTTTTGTCATTGATTTTCAAACCCTATTAATTTTAAACCTTTAATATACATAGTATTAAAAATCACTGACATTAAATTAGTGTAAATTCGAATCATGTGCACGAATCCAAGCATGGCAGCTAGACTAGCAAATCGGACAGGACATTGTACCATGAAATTTCTATTTTGAACTGGTATATCTTATTCATCAGTTTACTTTTAAAACCACATTACCACAGAGAGTCATCCCATCAACTTCTGTTATACCGAGTTTACATTTTACCCCTTTCAACAGCCATGTTTGGATTCGTGATACGCATTTATTCAACATCACATAGATGCTTATAAATGAAAACTGTTTGATCAGTCAAGTGTTTACATGATTCTTTCCCATTCTGTATATATTACGCAGACGTACAAACACCTTAATCTGGATGAATATAACGAAATAAAAATTACGATCAGTATCTGTTGAAAAAATTCTTCGGACCGCAACGATTTATGCGAGTGGCCAGCAACGCCAAACAAAGCTAATTTTATTTTTGGCCTTAAAATAAAGTTTTACAATTCTTCAATTTACCTGAAGGACTGCAGTATCTAGAATGATTGACAGCAACTCCCAGAATTCCTTGTCAATGTCGGTGTACAGGAAGTTGTATGAATCAGCCTTCAGATATCTGAACATGGCCTCATTTAGTGAGAGAGTCTGTACATTAGTAACAAAGTTTCTGAAATACAAGCGAAACTTGGTATGACTGTTATGATTAAAAAAAAATTCAACACTGACAGTGCATCCATACTTCCATATCAGCAGTCTTGTTTAAAGTTGTCATTTTGTAAGTTCTGTGGTCGATACAATGACCTTGTCAGCAAATACAATTTATCGTAAAGTTAAATGCTGACTGACATTTTTCATACTAACTGTTAAGCCATTATTTACACACTGAATTGTCAACGGATATTTCCGTTATCACCCGATCATGACAAGGAGCACACGGCGGGTGTGACTGGTTGACAGGGGATGCTCACTCCTCCATGGCACCTGATCCCACCTCTGATGTTTTAGAGGTCTGTGTTTGCTCTGCTCCAAAATTTTTATTGTATAATGGACTTTTGAGCTTGAATACTGTTCGTTATCTCCATATACTTCATGGCAACAACAATACCAGTAAATCATTTTGGTTGTTCATGTAGTTCACAGATAATATCATCTCTGAAAAGACATCCCCCCAAAGCAGTTTTTGTCACTTACCCTCCATTATTGGTCCTGAAGACTGTAACGTCCCCTTCCATGCCCAGCTCTGACCCCTGTATCACGAACACATCACAAGAGACCTGGTCCTTAAACTGCACAGTAATGGGGGATCTTGACTCCCTGAAGAGGAATAGCTTCATATTCAGACATAGACTCATGACTTTATCAAAATGCTTTCAAGCAGTGCCCTTGAATTATATCAAGTTTAATTATACAAACAGTATCAAAATCAAATACTGATACAAAATACTGATTACTTATATCTAGATTTTATACTTTTATAGAAATACTTAATAGAAATCATTCTTTTCACCGTAGTTAAGCTTTTAATACATTACCTCTTTAATATACAGAAATGTTTATTCTTCTTTATTATATACAAATCTTAATTCTTATAGTTGTTGATGAAAATCCACTATTTGAGTTACATGTATTCTTACTTGATGATGACAAGTTTACAAGGTTTTCGCAGTTTCATGACATCCATACAGAGATCTAGAATGGTTTTGTCTGATATGCTAACATGATTGACCTCTTTGCATTGAGAATTTTTGTTGTCCAAATAACCTTCCAACCTTTTCATCTCATTTTCATAAGTACCTTGTAATTAAGAGAATTCAAGAATGCACATCTAAAGATATCATCATTTGCATCAGAAATAAGTGCGATTTCTGTCACAAGGAAAAAAATTTTCCACAATAATTATTGACAAATACTTTTAGATTTGAAAAGATGGCAACATTATCTATTAACTTTAATAGATCATATGCAAGTGATGTATTGTTTAAAGCTAACGAGACAAAACATATAAATATCTGACAGCCTTACCATCAACAGCGGGGGGATACATGATGAATGCCCTTGGACTTGGAGACTTGATCCAGGACATGTAGTACAGGCAGGACTCCATGAGAGTGACCTGGAGACAGAGTTGATTTGATGTAGCGGTGTGATACAACCTAAAGTTGGCCTTATGAAACAGATTGTAGAGAGTTCTGTACCAGGCATACAAGTAGTCGTCATCTATCTTATCTAAAAAAAAATTCAATCAACTGTGTTACAACTTACATTTATAGAATAATTACATTGAAAGATTTTTTCCATTAACTTCAAAAATGAAGTTGCTTTCCGTTCGGTGTCTTTCTCTTTAAAATATATAATATTGAATATTGTTGTTCTAAAGAGATCTTGAAATAACTAGAGATGGTAGATCCCTTCAATATGAAATAAAACTCTCCTACAGAATTCAGGTTTTTGCTGTAGTAATATTGGAGCTCTTAAATTTCTGTCCATTTCTCTATTCAATGGTTTTGTAAACTTCCTTCATTATAGTATACATTACAGATTAACAATATATTTGAAACTGTTAAAGTTACACATACATATGAGCTTTAAAATTCATGAAGCATGGAAAATCACAATGGATGCCCTAGCAACTATCAAGATTCTCTCATGTCCTCAAGTGATTTATATTTATATATTTTCTGAAATTCAGACTGGCAACATTCTTACCATGCTTACCTATTAAAACCGAGAAGTAGACCTGACTGACTTTCTTCATAATGCCATCTTTTATGAGATAATACAGCAAGTCATAGGAACGACTAGGGTCAAGGACATGCTCTATTTTTAGAATATCCACCGATTTATGCTTCAGGATGGCCAAAGCATTATTCAATGTCTGTGTTTCATATGAGTTGCGTGAAAAATCAGATGGATCATTTGGCACAATTGCAGATCGAATGAAGTGAGTGTAGTTCGATTTGGTCATGAAGAAATCTAGTGGAGGTTTTTCATGGGAGAAAATGTACACATTGCAGGAAATATTTCTTGCTATTGCCTCCTCAAAGTCATAATTTGAAGGCCTGAAAAAATTCACGTAATTGAGTATCATAAATCATAGTTGACATATTAAACTAGCATTTCACACAACTGAGCCTCAAGTCTTTTTTTAGTACTATATTAAACTTCAAACTCAATGCATATAAAATATTTCAAATTTTACATTTTTTATCAAAGAAAAATACACAAGTATATATTTTGGGAAAAGTATGGGTAAAGGGAGGCTTTTTGATTAAACTAGCAATTATTATAAAAAGAGTAAGGAGTGTTTATCTACCCTATGGAATATATAACTTTTGGCAATGATGTATCCATGTTGATTCCTCCATCTTGTTCAATACAGATAGGCCAACTAGTGGTGTTAGATAATGTCAAAGTATTGTTACACATGAAGTGGTATGCTGTAATGAAGCGCATCAGCCTCTTAGCTTCACTATGTGCATCTGCCAGGACCTGAAGAGGGCTGTAAACATCTTTCATGTACATCACCTGCACACCACAGTACACAATCACTGCTAGGCCTATCAAGTAGGCTAGTGTCTTCTTTCTGCGATTCATGGTCAACACCAAACCACACCTCTGCGAATTACTTCAGCCCATAGTTTGATCAGTAAAGGATTCTGAAATGAAATTGTTTGAATGAAAAAATTTATAAAAACTATATCAACCAAAAATGTCAAAACTTTCTGTAAAGAAAGAGAGCTGATTATTGATGTGATATGTAATTTCACATTATGCTAAATAAATAAAAAAAAAAACATAGTCTAATAACGAGTGCAGCGAGCTCAATAGACTAACATGTAAGAACAGAGGAAATTTTGAATGAAATCTGTACATTCTTCAGGCAAATTTTCTTGTGCAACATTCCCAGAATTCCTTCGCTACCAGGATTCCATGCGAAAGTATTACAAAACATACAAAAGACCAAGGATAATTGTTCCTTACCTAATCTCAGCGAGATTCGTTGAAACTAAAAATTTTGGACAGACGTTTTTTTTCTGTCTGTCCAAAATATTTAGTCTCGACAAACCTTGCTGAAATTATTCCTTATCAAGAGATGTGTTTACTTTTCTTTCTTTGCAAAGAGCTTGAAAGAAACAAAAATAACAGCATATACTCTATTACGCATTTCATTAAATATTGCACATTAAGACCTGTAGTCTCGTTCAACCAGACACTCAGCTGTCTCTGTAAATTCCGACGTCACAGTCTAGACTGTGTCTTGTGCAGTTTAAAGATCAACGTTACAAGTGTAAGCTGTGTATAGTTTTTTTTAAGGTACAACTGCGCTTGCCCCAACGGTCACACCGTAAAGCATATTAGATACATCTATAACACAATGTTACAACAAATGTATCGATGTTTTTGGATGGGAAAATTGTTTTTTTTTTTCATATCACTCACCCATTTTAGCGAGTAAACAGAGGGGTTCAGTACTTTACAGAGAGACTGCACACAAAACAATCAATAAGTTATTTGATTATAAAGACTGAAAATACCTGCCATTTCAAATAATTTCTTTTACTTGTAAGAAAAACCGGACTAATCCATTGTGCTAGGGAGTTGTGAAAGAGAACAAACGGTTGGGTTTTTTTTCTCTGAAAAGCTAATTTTTTCCAATTTATGCAAAACAGCTCTTTAGTATCGGAGATTCTAATGGTCGATGTAAAACTGAAAGTAAGAATTGTTGCACAAAACCAATCCTGACCCCTTTGATAATCCCGGATCTTCGTATTATATGGAAAATATTCAAAATTTCAATAACCTTCTGATTTCTAAACTGATTTCTGATTGTCTTTAAAAAAATAAAACACTAAAAAATGTGATGTTGGAAAATTAAGTTTTTTTCCATAAGGATTTTATAGGAAACAACATCCTCTGGAATCTTGCACAAATGCCTGGTAAAGTACCTCAATTTATTGCGAGTAAACATGTTAAAGTAGCAATACTTCAATAACAAAATCGGAAAATGAAAAAATCAAAAAATTTATTTCAAATGTTCATAAGTATACATTAGCATAAATTTCACACCCGGCTTTTATCAGAAATTTTTATTCCCATTATACATGGCCGTAGGAACCGGGGGGGGGGGGGCACGGGGGGTATGTCCCCAATAATTTTGCCAATAAAAGGTTACTATAGAAAACATAGCTACTATATGCTTGTGCTCCCTCAATGAAAAAGTCTGATGACCTTTTTTTTTTTTTTTGCTTGTCAAGGTAGTTGATTACGAAAGCCCATTGAGCTCATTTTCGTAGGTAAAAAAAATATTTTTCGCGTTATAACGCGAAACTTTCGCGAATAAACGCGTAACTGTCGAGTTATAACGCGAAACTTTCTCGAGTAAACGCGTAACTTTCCCTGTAAAACAGAGACATTTGCATAAGTCTACAGTTTGTTTTACTTTTTAATGATCTAGTTTATAAAAAAGTACCTTTGTGTGGAAAATTTATATGTGTCTTATGTAAATCAATTTAATGGGTAATGTTAGATATGTAAAAACATTCGTGGTGGTGGTGGTAGCGGGGGGGGGGGGGGGGGGGCGTACCCACTACGGTATATTTCCAACTTATATTATATACAGTAGTGCTCCCTCAATAAAGACGACTGTGACTTTTTTTTTATTCCTTGTCAAGGGAATTATGTTGGGTTGTCCCCCCCCCCCCCCTGCACGCACTGAAATTGCTTTTCCTTATCTGAGATCAACTGTTTTTACATAGAGTAAAAGGCCTTTATAATTTTTTTTTATTAAAATTTTTTATATAAATGCATATACCAACAAATATTACCCAAGATCCTACTAAAAGTCCCCCCCCCCCAATTTTTCTGACGTATATAAGCCTTAAATACAATACTAATTCCCACATTTCCTTGCAGCCAAATAATACAATAGATTTTTTGACGGGGGATATTAAAGGCTTATATACGTCAGAAAAATGGGGGGGGGGGCTTTTAGTAGGATCTTGGTATTAAAGAGAGAATACTCTTTAGTCCTATTTATTGCTTCCTTGCCTTCACTGTTTAAAAATTCCTGAATCCGCTAACTTTTGTTATCATTGTAATCTATCAAAGGGTTTATTCAATTAAGCATGTATATTAAAGATATTAAAGATAATAAAACAGGCAATATCATCTATGAGCAGTGGCAGTTGGCAGTAAGCAGTGAGCAGTTGGCAGTAAGCAGTTGGCTGTCGTATATGGAATTCCATACATATCAGATTTCAGGAGTGCAACAAAATTAGGTAAAATAGGTCACTTAAAAATCTAGTATTTTTTTGTACGAAAACTTTTATATCAAAATTCTTTTTTGGCTTAGATTTAAAGAATTGACTTAAATGGACAAAAAGTAGTGTTGGGAGGATTTATTGTTTCATATTCTTTCACATTAAAACTTTAAAACCAGAAGTGAAGAAAAATTGTAAAATAACAATCAAAAATTCAATTTCTTTCACATGTACACGAGAAGAAACTCAATCAATGTTTAGATCTAATTATTTATATCCCTGACGCCATTTTGAAGCAAACAAAAAAAAATCTGTAATTTCTTTTGATTATGTATTTTAGAAAGTCTTTTTACGATGTTGTAATATTTTCTTTTTTCAATTAAAGTTTTAAATTGAATTTCTGAAACTTTTTTTTTTTTTTGCAATTGTCTATTCTATTGCCACTTTAGGAATTTTAACTAGAATGCATGTACAATATGATGATATAAGTGAAAAATATGTTATGGTTAGTTGAATTTTTTCAACAAATCTCAGTTTGATGGTCATTATTTTTGAATTCACTCTTACATAGCCTTTAAACACACAAGTGACAACATTGATCTGGCAACTTCCTGGTAAGTGTTACATAAGGTAGTCAGGCCAACAAGTTAAGTTTTCCTTCTATAAGCTGCCTTGGTTGCTTGGGGTACAAGACCGAGCAAGCTGGTTCTTCTGAAATACATGTTGCCAGACTGTTCAAAAGGCATCATCCCTTGGTACCCTATGCTGCCGGGCCAGCAATATATATATTCTCCACTTCTCCATATATAATTTTTAGAGCCACAAACTGATCTGCTTTGTTATACTTTCACTATATGACAGTAATTTTATGATTACTTGCTTACTGTAACTACTGCTTCTTAACCTAGTCTGTTCATTGAAGTGTACAGCAGTTTGGTTTACCTTTATATTGCATGTGATGCTTATATTTCATTGTATGAACCATACCAGTAATTTAATTGTTAGTTGAGAACACTTGCAAGTGAGAATCAGGTCAATACTGCACCCAGTGCAGCCATTACTTGTTATAATCATGATTGTATTGTTTTAATTGTACATGCCCCTTGAGGGCCCTTGATTGGTGAATAAACATATTCTATAACAAGACTGTGGTGTGCAAATAAATAGATAATACCAACGTGTTTATCAACTCACAAACACCAGTAAATAAAGCCATTTTAATCACTAATTTAACTAATTAAACAAAAAATGCTTTTTTGTTTGTTTTAAATACTGGGATTCACGGTTGCGACATTGTTGAAACAATACAGAACCCGCGTAAATAGTTTTCGTATTTTTTCTTTCTGCAATAGTTGCAACTGTTAATGCAGACTCCGATCAGACGGGGCAGTAATGTATATTTTGTAAACAACTTTCAATTTCCACTTAAATCATCTTTTTTTCTTTTACATTGGGATATATTTTGCTAAAAAGTTGTTTATGGCATTTGGAAAAAAAAATTATCGTTTTCTTTGAAAAGTGCGGAAGTTCCTTATTAGATATTTACAATACTAAAATTGCATCAGAGGAGTTATTTTTCAAAGTGTTGCAAGTGTTAAAAAGTTTTTATTATTTTTTGCGTATTACATGTTTAAATATAGATTGTCTAAGACCGAAAAGATGGGCTGAAATTGTTCATCTTATTTTCATTTTTGTTCGTCCACATCTGTAACCTCAGTTGATGGTTTTTTCACTACACAAAAAAGTATTTTGTCAAGTTCAAGATAAAAACCTAATCCTAGGAAGGTCAAGGTAATGGATCAAAGTTTAAGGTCCAGAATCATGGAGAAGTAACTTTGGTTATGACATTTGAACTTGAAAGTATAAAAATTATATATATACTTACTTGGTCAAGATTATGACCAGGTCTTCATTCCATGTAAAAAGCTATGTCCCAACTCTAAAGGTCAGAAACTTGGTCACCAAAACTTAAATCTTATGAAATACTCAACTGGAGAGTATTTATTTGAGCAAAGAGAAAGGATCAAAGTCAGATAGCAATGAAAATCCGATCAAGGTCAAATGTGAAGGTCGAAATTCAAATTGTTGAGGCAGAAATATATGATTATATGGTTATTGTTTTGCTGAGCATGATCCATGATTATAATGACGAGTTACACATTGGATTTAAGTCTGACTGCCTGATTTTTAGCGATCATATGGATATACTACATGTATATTGTAAACTACACCAAAAATGTGTATTTTAGGAACTTTCCCCCATATCTTAAGGAGCCAAAAAAAAGTTGTCCTATAGTCGGAACCGTGGAAGTAATTTTACTTTCTTACCGGGGGTACAAACAATGCTAGTCTTAAGGGAGCCGACTAGGGTTTTATTGTGTGAAAACTACAATAGAAAAACTCTTTAATTTATTATTTCTCATTTATATAAATGATGTTGCTGAAAATATGATTTCAATGTGTAGATTGTTTGCGGATGATAATTCCCTTCAACAATCATCATACAATATATTAGATATGGAATACAAATTGAATCATGATTTACATAATTTGGAACTATGGTCAAACAAGTGGCTTCTTAAATTCAATCCATCCAAAACAAAGGTCGTTTATTTCAGTAAGAAAAACATTTCTGTTATGCCTAAGCTATTTTTTAAAGGCGATAGACTGGAGTGTGTTCCAGTCCATCGCCATTTGGGTTTACTATTGTCACAAAATCTTAGTTGGTCAGAATATATTGATGGTGTTGTAAACAGTGTTTATAAAAAAACTAGGCCTCTGAAAGAAATTGAAGTTCAAAATGGGTAGAAAAAACTTATCAAAATTGTATATTACGTTTATCAGACCTATGCTTGAATATGCTTCCATTGTTTCGGATGGCTGCTCTAAACAAGATTCTGAAAAGCTTGAAAAAGTACAATTAACCGCCGCTAGAATTGTAACAGAGAACTTTATTGACAAAACGGAGATGGCGATGGCGATGGATAGGGCATGTGTTAAGAAAGTCAGTCAACAACATCACCAAAGTAGCCCTTAGATGGACACCAGAAGGAAAGAGGAAACCTGGTCGACCAAAGAACACCTGGCGAAGGACTGTAGAAAAGGATATGAGAAAGCACAAACTAACTTGGGGAGAACTAAGATAGAGAGAAGTGGAAAAATCTAGTCCTTGCCCTATGTGCCCACGGGCATAACAAGGACTAGGTAGGTAGGTAGAATTGTAACAGGACTTCCTATTTTTGTGTCTAGAGAAGCACTATATTCTGAAACTGGTTGGGAAACTTTAAAAACCAGGCGATACATTGCAAAAATGACAACTATGTTCAAAATTCACACTGGAAGAGTACCTGAGTATTTGCATGATATTGTCCCCAATAAGC